AATTGTTCTTAATGGTCCTGTATTTCTCGAAGGTTCTTCATAATCACATACTTCAATTGTCCGCACTCACTGAACTCTGCCTTCGTGCGTCCAGACGTCATATTTGTACCAAAATTTAAACATAGTTCTATTCTCCTTTTAAACAATCTTTGATTTCGTTTTTCTTTTAACAATAATCATGAATACTAATGAGGTTTAATAAGATTGATGACAGCCTCAAATTGTTTTCACATCGCATCCGTTATTAAAGCTGATAGCGCCGATATAATATATATAGTCCATATTTTTATGAGATTTTAAATTTTAAATCATTTTAAAATAGTTGTTTCATAATGTTCAATTAATAATAATTAAATTTTTCTTAAATCTTATTATATGCATATACAACGATAATAATAATCTGTACGTCGTCGTCATCATCCTATCAGACTACTGCTGAGCAAGGCCTCTTTCTCACATGGAGAAGGTTTGAGCATTAATCACCACGCTTGCCCAAGACGGGTTGGTGATTTCAAACTTATAATTGTGAAACAATAAGTCCAGGTTTCTTCACGATGTTTTCCTTCACAATACATTTAATTTTATAATTTAAGATTATATAAATAAAAGTTAAATATTTCGTGGGTATACTTTTAAATATGTACAATATTACTAAAGTAGTAACGTCACAGGATAAAAATCGATAAATGCGAAAATATTTCAACATGAATTTTCTTTTTTTACTTTTATTCAATGAAAGACGTTGATTGTTTAATTATATTTTTAATGTATCATCAAACCTTACCAAACATGAGTAAGTATAGGACTAAAACGATATTACGATAAATATATTCTACTTCTACCTAGCAATTTCCCGGCTATAGCCAGGGTCTGCCTTACATGTTGTGAATAGTTTTGGCTAATTGTTTTTTACGATCGGCCGCCTGCCTGACACCAACCCTCTTACGATAAATATATTATACAAATTAAATAATTATGATTTAAACTAATATTTAAACCTATAGTTCTCGTTACAAGCTTCCCTTATTTAATACATGAAATTCAGGTCCCACTCACTCAAAGAACAATAAGCTAATGAAAGAAATGTTATTAAAAATAGAGTACATACTTACTCTTTTATATTTTAATGAGAGATATAACTTGATTTTATTATAATCTTTATCACCTTAATTACGTGTCATTAACTCAAATGGTTCCTGATTTATTGATAGCATACGTATTCAATAAAAATAAACGTTGATATTGGCAAAATATTATACGATTCCAGTGTGAATAAAGACGTTCCTTAAACCTACACCTGGGTCGCAAGTCCCAGTCACTGTTGAAGCTCCTCTCACTACAACAATGGACCCAACACCCGCACGGTGGATACATTGAATGCTAAGAAATTTGTCTCTCATAACATCTAAAATACAATAAGTACAATCTAAAATACAATAAATACAAGACATCAAATTTAGTTATAGAGTTTAGTCGTTATAAACCAAAAATGTTGAATATGATACAACTATAAGAAAGTCTATTTAACTAAAGAAATTTCTTATTAGAAATTGTTAGAACACACCGGAACACACTGATAATGAATAGAAATAAATACAATTCAGACCTTTTACATGAACAAGATTGTATTCAAATAATAATGCATCAATTTTCTTAAGTTACAGTTAAAGAACTCCGGAATTTTTTGGCGATAAACAATAAAATGTTTTAATTGACAATGAAATAAATGTTACGTACGCGCTACATATTAAAAAATAATTGAACATCGCCGGGGTACCATCGTTGTATTGATAAAATAATATCATATAACGAGTGACTTAAACTTCCGCTGACTCCGCGGAACGAACACCAAGTCGTGTGAACCAGAAGATTCCTGATACCACACAAGCTATGGAATGGTATTGCTATCCTAACATCGGGATAATCATGTAGTCTTAGGTATATGTTATAAATTTTAACATGTAGTTCTTATTATAATATACGTATAAATAAATTTCGTAGTTTTCATGGAACCTCAGGTTACCACCCTACACAATTAAAATATGTATATTTACTTAAATACCATAAAATTAAATATACTAAAATACAGAAGCATACAATAATTGTTCAACGTTATTCGAAAAGTAATGTATTTTCAATTATATTTTCTACTAAATAAATATAGGGATATCTTTATTTAATATAAAATAATATATTTTATAGAAACAGTGATATTTATAATAACAACGTGTTATTCAAGTGTTTTATTACATATAGAAGTCTATTAATACCTTGATCAAACAACATAAAGGAAGTCGCGGGAAACGGTTAGTGAGTTTATAGAACAAAAACTGAACAAACATACTTGTGGGAATATAAAAATATGAAGAACAAATAACTGGTTGTTAAAACATGTCCACGTTATTTAATTTGTGCTTTAAATGGTTTTTCTAATTAGTTGTTTTATCAAACATTAGAACACACATATATATATATATATATATACCTATATATAATTACTATATACTAGCTGACCCGGCAAACGTTGTTATCACATATAAAAAATGGGGGATGGTGATAGAAAGTAAAAAAAATTGGATTGCATGTAGCTTTTCCGTCACCATTATATAAAAATTAAAAAAAACAAGGGTGAACAACCCTTATAAAAAATAGATGTTGGAAGATTCTCAGACCTGCTTAATATGCTCACAAAATTTCATCAAAATCGGTACACTGGTTTCGGAGAAGTTCTCCGTCTAACACCCCGACACGAGAATTTTATATATAAAATATATATTATGTTTCACGTTACAAACTTACTATCATATAAATTAACAGAAAATGTATGCAGAAAATATCTTAACAAAAATATAAACTAGATTTTAATCATTGGTACGCTCACATTTCTTTTCTTTTTATCTTTTCAATAAACAAAATGAAAGTAGATGTCCAAATCAATTAAATATATCTATATCACTTGCGGTCAATCGATAGTTAGTTGATAACTCTCCTTACTACAAGTTTCCATCGTCACTACATACGTGGAGTGTCTCGTTTCTCATTCAAGAACCGTACGAATTGTGGTAACATGCAAAATTATGGTAATCGTATTGTGTTATAAATATCGTGTGTCAGTCACTAAAACAGTATAATAAATTTATTAACTCACCACAGCTAGGCTCTACCACCTTTATTAAGGTGGTAGAGCCTAGCTGTGGTGAGTTACTGCAGCTCGAACATGGGCTGGCTCGACCGGAGAAGTACCACCCTCTCACAGAAGATCGGCGTGAAGTAGCCTTTACCGGCTGCGTTTCGTCTGATGAGTGAGAGAGCCGGTTGCCCTTTCCCTATTCCTACCCTTTCCCTTCATTTCCTTATTCCCTCCCCTCCCTATCGCCAAAAAACAAGGTTGGCAACGCATCCGCAACAAAATGTTGTGGATGTCCATGGGCGACGGAAACCACTTTCCATCAAGTGGGCCGTCTGCTCGTTTGCCACCTTTAACATAAAAAAAAAAAAAAAAAAAAATAAAAATATACAGACTCGGAGGGAAACTATTCAATATATTTGACAAAATTCAGCTGTTTTCTATTTTATTAATTTTGAGGTACTTTATATTTAAATCCTATCCGAATGAAAAATTTATCTCACTTATTAAAATTATCCTTTTTCACATTTGGAGTAACTATTAATAGACGGGATTTTTATAAAAATCAACAATTCAGGCCATAACTTACAAATTGATATTTATAATAAAAAAAACTCATATATTCACAAAATAACATGCAACTGTCTTTAGTCATAACTGTAAAACTATGTATCTTTAATTCTTTAGCTCGATTTTTGTTTACAAAACTTCTAATAGCTAAGAGCGTCTTCTTATAATGACTATAAACCTTACCTTTTTATGTGTGTCTGTTTCCACACAGATGTAAAAAATATCATAATCCATTTGAATAGAATTTTGTAGCGACATTCCTAAGTGTAGTAACCTATAGACTGATTTGGTTCTGATACTTGTGCAAAATCTTGAGAGAAACGTGCACAACAAAATCTTTTATAACGCCTGCTAGTAATAACACTTCATCATGTAAAAGAGTGTAGATAAATAATTGCTCATTACTTTTTGTAGGTTTCTTTCAACTGTAGAGAAATATACTAAGTATTGTTTTCTTTCATTATTAAAGGTTTTAGCAAAATAATTTAATATTGACCATATTTAGTCGGTATACTGAAGAACAATCGACTGTTGATTTTGTATATCTTTACTGTTCATTTGGCACTTATTCAGTATTTAATAATCATATGAAATCATCTTGAAGATCGTAAACAGAAAATTCATAATTAAAAACATATTCCATTACAACGCGAAGGTTGAAATCCAGCCTTTTGTGATGCGCACGAACGAAAGCTATTATCGAAGAATAGAACTTAATTAAATATTTTATAGTTTTTGCGATAGGTCTTCATTATCGGTTTATAAAAGGTTTCGGTATATCTATATTGACTTCGATTTATTTCATTCGATTCTAAATTCATTAAGAACCTTAAACTACTGAGATCGTCTAGAACTAGTATAATTATTTTTTCAATACACCAGATATTATAAAGAAAAAAATGTCTGATTGTAGTAGAATATAATTCAATTTTAGTTTCTTAGTCATAGGTAATTCAGTATTATAATATGGGATCATAGCTTCAATACAATCAGGGACTGAATACTTATCAAGACAACTTAACAGACTTCTGATAAAACAATAAAAAAACTCTTGTTTCTCTCTTGTTCCTTAATGATAATGATTTTTTATCAATCACATTAAGAAAGGGGATTTCTAAAAGAATAGTTGGAAAGGCTTTATGACAAAATAATTAATTTGTTAATTGCATCATACATTAGGATAATTGACAAAAGTGGATTTCCATAATTATCATTTATTAATTGTAAAAATCATAATGAAATTTGTTTTGGTATAAATAGGCCGTTTTAAAAAATTAACATCATTCGAGTGGCATCATCCAACATGGAAATGAAAATTTTGGTAAGTACAGTCTAGTTTATATTTTAAATCGAAAAAATATATTTGAGAAATCATTTTTTTTATTATTATAATTAATTTTGTTCAACAGTTCACGGTGCTATCAGCAGTTGTACTTGTTTGTCATGGATCTCCAATAGTTGACAATGCTAAAATAATGTCTGGAGTTTTCATTCCGGCTGAAACGTTTAAAACCCTTCAAGATGACGCAGCGAGGAACGGACTACAAGAAAAGTCCATAATCAGTCCAAATTCAGAAATAGATTCGAATGTTCGCGTGAATCCTTCAAATCAACAACAGAAGGAACAGAATGCAATGAATCAACAGTCCATATCGTTAAACCAACAACCAAGCCAGCAACAGGTTCTTATCAATCAACAACCTCAACAGCAACAACAAATTTCTATTAGTCAACAACCGCAACAACAGGCTGTTGCTCAACCGAACCAGCAAGTAGTTTACCAAACACAACCTCAGCAACAAGCTGCTGCGCAACCAAACCAGCAAGTACTTTATCAGACGCAACCCCAACAACAAGCTGTTGCGCAACCGAACCAGCAGCTAGTTTATCAGGCGCAACCTCAACAACAAGCTGTTGCGCAACCGAACCAGCAAGTACTTTACCAGACGCAACCGCAACAACAAGCTGTTGCTCAACCAAACCAGCAAGTAGTTTACCAAACGCAACCACAACCATCCACTCAGCAAGTAATTGGTCAGCCACAACAGCAAGTTGTTAGCCAACCAGATCAACAGATCGTATACCAACAACCACAACAACAACCACCTCAAACCAGCCAACAAATTATTGTAGCTCAACCAAACCAACAAGCGGTTTATCAACAATCACAACCCGGTCAACAAGTTCTCGTAGGTCAGCCGAATTCTCAGGCCATCTACCAACAGGGAGCGCCTGGACAAATTGTTGTAGGTCAGCCGACATACGTAAATCAACAACCACGTCCGGTGTACATCTCGCAACCAGCTAACCAACAGCCAGCATTAGTGAACCAGCAACCTAATCGCGGACAGCCGATATATTTTGCGCAACCAGGACAAACCGTGTTATTAGCCCAACCGAACCAGCCCTCAGGTCAACAACAGTATGTGATCGGTCAACCTCCCCAGCAGACGATACTTGTTGGACAATCCGGTCAGTTTGTAAATCAAAGGCCACCACCGGGCAGTGTGTACGCACTCGTGCCAGTCTCAAATTCAAATAATCCAAATCTTAGTCAAAGTCAAGGCAGCGGCACCATTTACATCCCCGTACAAGGATCGAATCAAGTATTCGCTGTCTCTTCTTAAATTTTAGACTTTCCTTAAATATGAATCTAATATGTTACCAAAATAAAGTATGTTATTGAAATCATAGAATTTTTTCTATTTCTTAGTCCCAATTACTTCATACATTAAATAAACATATGACCTTAAAAATTATCATCAGTGGGTATTCTTTACTGAGAAAGTAATGACCTTATTTTTGTGAAGAGATAAGTTTGAGTACTAATATTTACAACCAGGTTTAAATATATAGAAAGTACCTCAATAAAATGTGACTTCATATAAAATTCCCGAGATTAAAAAACCTTCCTTATAATTCTAGGGTGTCTTGTGATATCAAACTGTCACCATTATTTAGTCCCTTTTTCTGAACAAATAAATCAACATAGTTTGAACTTTATTTATTCTTCTACCAAAAAAAAAAATTAATATTTTTAAATAAGAGAGAATACATAAATAATAATAATTTTAGCTGAATCTGTTTTATAACTACTAAAATCTTCTGCGTTTAATACTATATGATAAACATATGTAGTTTTAAGATACAAGTTTCCCACATTTATATTCTTTAAGAATCGCAATTGCTATTTAGTTCATGTAGGTTATTATTTACTACTCCCATTAGTTATAAATATTAATTTGATTTATATAATATATTAAACATACAGTTAAGGCTGATATATATATAATCTTGACCTAAAATCTAAATGTTTTTATAGTTTTTTCAAATATACTTTTACTTCAAAAGTTGTTACCTAATCAAAGAATACGCCTCGTCGAGTTCACCTTAGTGGCTAGTAAGCCCTTGTATAAAACCGAAGACTCGTCTCTAACCGTGCCCAAAAGAGAAATATTTAACACAAATGTCTCGGGGTTCAACTGGCCCTCTGGTCTCCCTAACTAAACGATATTGGCTTAAAAATCGGTAATATTTAAATTATTGGGATAATCAATCAAATGTACGAAGAAATGCGCTTACGTGCTAATCGCACTGATGACCGTAGAAAGACAGATCAAGAAGATAGTATTTTTTTTACTCTAGATCTGACTGTAGCTGTTAGCCCTGATGGCTTCGATAGTATCACCTGGAAGTTTGGGTGGCCCGATTGGAGCTACCCGTTAAAATCGGGTCCGAAGGGCCCATGGATGGTAATCAAATAGTTGTATTGCTATGTCTGAATTACGTTCTTTATTGAGAGAGAATCAAGTTAATAGGCTTAGAATGCAACAAGTTCGTGCACATCAAACATAACAACAGTGAGCACGACATAACGAAATTCAGCTATTCCACAAATGCAAAGCTTCTGTGATTCTGTAACGAGATGCATTTCACTATTATCTGGCAATAGATTATTGTACTGACAAATCAGTCACAATAAGAGAAATAACAATATTTTGTCAATATTTTACGGCGTTAAAACGCAGTGGTGAATTTACTGGATTATGTTGTTTTGGAGTCAAAGTAAAATTTCCACAATTGGTCACACCACCAAATTCTTTTTACTCTTTAATTTCTGGTATCAGTAAATGATTCTAAGCATTTCTTGGCTAAAATTCAGAAATATAAGAGTTGTTTCCAAATGATATTGATTGGTACTACACATAATATACAGGACAACATTATACCCACTTTCAAAGTGTTATAACCACAATTTCGTTTTCATAATATTCAATATTGGATATATTTTTTTGAAAAATGTTTAACAATTACAGATACAATATCAAATTTATCAGTTGAAGATCATACATTTTTACAAATTTAATTCATGGGCAATTCAGTTGTAGAAGTCAGAAGAGAACCATTGATCAAGAATTACAAATGTTTTTTCATCGGAACAGCAATTTAAAAAACATATTCAAAATAGCCTTTGATAGGATGCCATCTGACTTAACATAATAATGTGTATGTAGCTCACAAAACACCTGCCGGTGACCACACAAGAAGATTTAATTCACCCACTGTTGACAATCTTTAAGATATATCACTGTGACATTGTTTGTTCATGTTTTATAATAATGTTTTTGTCTTTTGTATTGTTTTGGTTTAGCATTAATTGATCAATATTTTGATAACTTTAGTATAACCATTTGTTTTTATTAATTTTAAATTTGTTTGATTTTAGAATGGGTACAACCTTTGTATTAATTGTAGTATTTATTCATCATAAAACACTTAGTAGTAGATAGTAATTGTAGTTTTATTTAGTTGAGTTACTTATTTATTATTTATTTAGCATTAAGGGACATTGCTTCCTTTTGTTTTGTTCCTGTGAGTGTATAATTATGTTATGTACTTAAAGGTTTTTTTACGCAGACGAAATCACTCGTACCAGCTAGTCTTAAATTATTTTTAAACAATTACTAAATTTGTTCAATATTATATTATAACGATCAGCACATGAAACAACTTTGTCTGATGTTTTACAAGCAACGTACAGAATTTTAATCAGAAACAAAAGGCTTATGTTCATTAAGTACATTGTAAAAACATTAGTTACAAATACTAAAGGGGGTCCAAAAATAATAGTTGGAAAGGCTTTATAACAAAATAATTCATTTGTTAATTACATATAACATTAGGATTAGTGACAAATTGGATTAATCTATAATTATCATTTAGTAATTATAAATACCATAATCAGTTTTTTTTTGTATAAATAAGCCGTATTAAAAAAATAACATCATTCGAGTGGCATCATCCAACATGGAAATGAAAATTTTGGTAAGAACAATCTAATTTATATTTTAAAATATTAAAAATATATTTGAAAATCAATGCTTTAACTATTACAATTATTTTTGTTTAACAGTTCACCGTGCTATCAGCAGTTGTACTTGTTTGTCATGGATCTCCAATAGTAGATAATGCTAAAATATTGTCTGGAGTTTTCATTCCGGCTGAAACGTCCCTTCAAGAAACCCCTCAACAGCAACAACAAATTTCTATTAGTCAACAACCGGAACAACAAACTGTTGTTCAACCGAATCAACAGCTAGTTTATCAAACGCAACCGCAACAACAAGCCATTGGTCAACCCAACCAAATGCTAGTTTATCTGGCGCAACCTCAACAACAAGCTGTTGGTCAACAGAACCAACAAGTATTTTATCAAACGCAACCACAACCATCCACTCAGCAACTAATTAGTCAGCCACAGCAGCAGGTTGTTAGCCAACCAGATCAACAAATTGTATACCAACAACCGCAACAAATTATTGTAGCTCAACCAAATCAACAAGCGGTTTATCAACAACAACAACCCGGTCAACAAGTTATCGTTGGTCAGCCGAATTCTCAGGCCATCTACCAACAGGGAGCGCCTGGACAAATTGTTGTAGGTCAGCCGACATACGTAAATCAACAACCACGTCCGGTGTACATCTCGCAACCAGCTAACCAACAGCCAGCATTGGTGAACCAGCAACCTAATCGCGGACAGCCGATATATTTCGCGCAACCAGGACAAACCGTGTTATTAGCCCAACCGAACCAGCCTTCAGGTCAACAACAGTATGTGATCGGTCAACCTCCCCAGCAGACGATACTTGTTGGACAATCCGGTCAGTTTGTAAATCAAAGGCCACCACCGGGCAGTGTGTACGCACTCGTGCCAGTCTCAAATTCAAATAATCCAAATCTTAGTCAAAGTCAAGGCAGTGGAACCATTTACATCCCTGTACAAGGATCGAATCAAGTTTTCGCTGTCTCTTCTTAAAGATTTAAGACTTTTTTAAATGTGATTCTAATATGTTACTGAAATAAAGTTTACGTTATTGAAATCATATAATTTTTCTATTTCTTAGTCCCAATTACCCCCATCCATTACTTCATACATTAAACAAACATATGACCTTAAAAATTATCATCAGTGTGTCTTCTTTACTGAGAAAGTAATAACCTTATATTTATGACTACATAGATTAGTTTGAGTAATAATATTTATAACCAGGTTTAAATATATTAAAGAAAGTAGCTCAATAAAATGTGATTTCATATACATATTATTCGAGATTCGATATTCGAGATTATAAAACCTTCCTTATAATTCTAGGGTGTCTTGTGATATCAAATTGTCACCATTAATAAGTCCCATTTTTTGAACAAATTAATCAACATCGTTTGAACAGTTCTTTATTTATTCTTCTACCAAAAAAATAAAATAAAACAAAATTAAACAGCCAACAATTTTCATTTAATTAATATTAAGATTCTTAATCCTATTAGCCTTAAATAAGTCAGAATACGTGAATAATAATAATTTTAGCAAAATCAGTTTCATTATTGACTATCCTGTTGCATCTAATACTATATGATAAACATAGTTTTAAGATAGTTTCTCACATTTATATTCTTTAACAATCATAATTGATATTTAGTTCATGTAGGTTATTTTTTACTACTCCCATTAGTTACAGATATAAATTTGATTTACATAATATATTGAACACACATTTGAAGCTGATATATATAAACTTGACTTAAAAATATATATGTTTAAATAGTTGTTCAAATATTATACTTTTAATTTAAAGTTGTCCTCAAATCAAAGAATACGCCTTGTCGATTTCACCGTAATGGCTAGTAAGCGTTCGTATGCAGTGCCGGCGATAGGGGGGGAGGGGGCGATGGGGCGACGGCTCAGGGCGCCAAATATGGGGGCGATTAGTGGAGGTAGGATACTTATAAATTTTTCATTTATAAATTATAAGTAAAAAAAAAATAGGAGCTACATAACTTTCTACGTCCAAGTCGTTAGCTCTGGGTCACGCTAAAGGAAAGATGGAAGATGGTAGATGGAATATAGAATTCTTAAAACAGGTTCAGTGTTCACATTCGTTCAGAAAAAAATTAATACTCGATTTTGATTTCTTGAAGTGGGCGCCAAAATATTCTTGCCCAGGGTGACAGTTTCTCTAACGCCGGCACTGTTTGTATGAATCCGCAGACTTAATTCTAACCGTGCCCAAACAGACCAGTGTCGACTTTTAAAACAGAAAAAAAATATAGCAGGATCAAAATTCAAACCCATTAGAATAGGAGGAGAATATTATAAAAATAAAAGGAAAAAATAATTTACCGGCGATCGAAGGTCGGGAAGGGTGGGGGGTGGGTATTTAAGAGTAAAAAATGATTTTTTATTTCCGGCAAAACTAAAAGTTCTACGGAAAAAAAATATATGGCATAGTTGGAAGTAATAAAAAGATGTAAAACTTTTGTAATTATATATTTTTCACATAACCTCAAAATTTACATGAAAAGTTCAAAAAAACAAGTTTTTTGGTTTTATATTTTTATCTTTTACAAAAAACAATATTTTGTCACGAAATTTGGTGAAAATTTACCTTTTGATGTCTCAAACACACTGTAATTTATATGATTAGAAATATTTATTTTTTCAGCTTATCTTCTATATATATAAAAATGGATTGCTGTTCCTTAGTCTCACTAAAACTCGAGAACGGCTGAACAGATTTGGCTAATTTTAGTTTTGAAATACTCCTGGAAGTCCAGGGAAGGTTTAAAAGGTGAGAAAAATGGGAATAATTGCCGAGAAATTCTAAAAACATCCCTTTTCTATTTCCTATACAAACGTTTTTTTTTTGACATTAGATTTGACAACTAACTAATATGTCAATCATTCTGTTTGATTGAAACAGGAAAAACCTGATTATTTATGGCCTCTACGAGAGAATAGAGTTCGCCTGGTCAGCTATACCTACATATATGACTCTTGACCAAACTAACGAGGACGAAGTCGCGGGCAAAAACTAGTTTTGAATAAATATCGACAAATCAGCCTCAATTTCAATCCAAAAATTGCCCTTCAAAATGTCAGCATCTTTCAAAAATAATGAATGTTTTCTGTTCGTTGAAATCTCTATTTTCCAATGGTTAAGAAAAAATATAAGTTTCTTACTTCCAGTACCAGTAAATAATCATGTCCCTTTTAATGAAATGACACTCGACATCGTTTTGAAAATTTCCTGAAAGTCCCTCTTTTATTTTATTTACAATAAATTGACATTAAACTACTAAAACTATTAACTAAGGAATGAGTTATAAGTTTTAATATGTAATTCTTGTTATAATATACATATAAGTAAGTTTCGCAGTTTTCCTGGAACCTCCGGTTGCCACCCTTTATAAAAATAGCCTTTCATGGGATGCTATCTAACATCCATAGTATTATCATTGTACTCGTAGCTAACAAAACACCTACCGTTGAACACACAAGGAGATTTAATTCACCCACTGCTGTCTATCTTCAAAATATATCACTAACAAATTGGCAAATTGGCTTTGTTCATGCTTTATAACATTGTTTTTTTTCTTTTGTATGGTTTTGGTTTAGCATTAAATATGAATATATTGATTACTTTAGTATAACCATTTCTATTTATTAGTTGTGTCCATATGTAAATAGGTTTACTTATAAATATGTTTGATTTTAGAATGGGTACAAATCAGTAAGTACTCAGTAGTAATATCAGTATTTATCCATCATAAAACATTTAGTAGTAGATAGTTATTGTAACTTTTATTAAGTTGAGTTACATAAATAGATTAGATTATTTTTATGAGTTGCATTTAGGGACTGTACTTCTTTTTGTTTTGTTCCTGTGAGTGTATGTACTTAAAGATTTTTTTAAGCAAACAAAGTCACTCGTAATAGCCTTCTTAAATAATAATAAAATAATTATTAAAGTTGTCCAATGTTATGTTATAACAATCAGTACATAGATGTAACAATTTTGTCTGATATTTTGACCGCATCATACAAAATTTAAATCAGAAAAAAAAATATTATGTTCATTATATTGTTAAAACATTAATCACAAATTAACAAACGGGGATCCAAAAATAATAGTTGGAAAGGCTTTATAACAAAATAATTAATTTGTTAATTACATATAACATTAGGATTACTGACAAAAACGGATTAATCTATAATTATCATTTAGTAATTATAAAAACCATAATCAGTTTTTTTTTTGTATAAATAAGCCGTATTAAAAAATTCATATCATTCAAGTGGCATCATCCAACATGGAAATAAAAATTTTGGTAAGTACAGTTTAATTTATATTTTAAAATATAAAAAATATGTTTGGGAAATCAATGTTTTAAATATTATTATTATCATTCAACAGTTCACCGTGGTATCAGCAGTTGTTCTTGTTTGTCATGGATCTCCAATAGTAGATAATGCTAAAATAATGTCTGGAGTTTTTATTCCAGAGGAAACAATTAAAACAATTCAAGATGACGTATCATTGAATCAACAACCAAGCCAGCAACAGGTTCTTATCAATCAACAACCTCAACAGCAACAACAAATTTCTATTAGCCAACAACCGCAACAACAGGCTGTTGCTCAACTGAACCAGCAAGTAGTTTACCAAACACAACCCCAACAACAAGCTGTTGCTCAACCGAACCAGCAAGTAGTTTACCAAACACAACCCCAGCAAGAAGCTGTTGCTCAACCGAACCAGCAAGTAGTTTACCAAACACAACCCCAACAACAAGCTGTTGCTCAACCGAACCAGCAAGTAGTTTACCAACAAGCCATTGGTCAACCCAACCAACTGCTGGTTTATCTGGCTCAACCACAACCATCCACTCAGCAAGTAATTGGTCAGCCACAGCAGCAGGTTGTTAGTCAACCAGATCAACAGATCGTATATCAACAACCGCAACAACAACCACCTCAAACTCAACAGCTCAACCAAATCAACAAGCGGTTTATCAACAACCACAACCCGGTCAACAAGTTATCGTAGGTCAGCCGAATTCCCAGCCCATCTACCAACAGGGAGCGCCTGGACAAATTGTTCTAGGTCAGTCGACATACGTAAATCAACAACCACGTCCGGTGTACATCTCGCAACCTGCTAACCAACAGCCAGCATTGGTGAACCAGCAACCTAATCGCGGACAGCCGATATATTTTGCGCAACCAGGACAAACCGTGTTATTAGCCCAACCGAACCAGCCTTCAGGTCAACAACAGTATGTGATCGGTCAACCTCCCCAGCAGACGATACTTGTTGGACAATCCGGTCAGTTTGTAAATCAAAGGCCACCACCGGGTAGTGTGTACGCACTCGTGCCAGTCTCAAATTCAAATAATCCAAATCTTAGTCAAAGTCAAGGCAGCGGCACCATTTACATCCCCGTACAAGGATCGAATCAAGTTTTCGCTGTCTCTTCTTAAATTTTAGACTTTCCTGAAATATGAAACGAATGTGTTACCAAAATAAAGGATGTTATTGAAATCATAGATTTTTTTCTATTTCTTAGTCCCAATTACTTCATACATTAAACAAACATATGACCTTAAAAATTATCATCCGTGGGTATTCTTTACTGAGAAAGTAATTACCTTATTTTTGTGAATAGATTAATTTGAGTAATATTTGCAACCAGGTCTAAATATATAGAAAGTACCCCAATAAAATGTGATTTCATATATACAATTCCCGAGATTATAAAACCTTCCTAATAATTCTAGGGTGTCTTGTGATATCAAATTGTCACCATTAATAAGTCCCTTTTTCTGAACAAATTAATCAACATCGTTTGAACAGTTCTTTATTTATTCTTCTACCAAAAAAATAAAATAAAACAAAATTAAACTTAAAAAAAATAAAACAAAACCAACAATTTTCATTTAATTAATATTAAGATCCTTAATCCTATTAGCCTAAAATAAGAGAGAATACGTAAAAAATAATAATTTTAGCAAAATCAGTTTCATTATTGACTATCCTGTTGCATCTAATAGTATATAATAAACATAGTTTTAAGATAGTTTCTCACATTTATATTCTTTAAGAATCGCAATTGCTATTTAGTTCATGTAAGTTATTTTTTACTACTCCCATTACTTACAAATATTAATTTGATTTACATAATATATTGGACATACAGTTGAAGCTGATATATATAAAGTTGACCCAAAAATATATATGTTTAAATAGTTGTTCAAATATTATACTTTTAATGAAAAGTTGACACCAAATCAAAGAATACCATTTGTCGACTTCACCTCAATGGCTAGTAAGCCTTCGTATGAATCCGCAGACTTGACTCTAACCGTGCTCAAATAGACCAGTGGCGACTTTTAAAACAGAAAAAAATTATAGTAGGATCAAACCCATTAGAATAGGAGGGGAATGTTATAAAAATAAAAAGAAAAATAATTTACGGGCGATCGTAGGTCGTAAAGGGTAAGGAGGTGAGTATTTAAGAGTAACAAATGGGTTTTCTTGATTTCCGGCAAAACTAAAAGTTCTACGGAAAAAAGTGATAAGACAAAGTTCTATTTAATAAAAAGATCTAAAATTTTTGTTTATATATTTTTCACATAACTTCAAAATTTTCGTGATATTTTTTACGTTCAAGGGGGCCACCGAGCAGACGTCCTACGTATTCAAAAAACCAATTTTTTGGTTTTTTATTATTATCTTTTACAAAAAACAATATTTTGTCACGAAATTTGGTGAAAACTTACCTTTTGATGTCTCATTTTCAATCAAAAAATCACCCATCAAAATGTCAGCTTTTTTCAAAAATGAGGATTGTTTTCTGTTCGTTGCAATCTCTATTTTCCGATGGTGAAGAAAAAATATAAGTTCCTTACTTGCAGTACCAATAAATAATCATGTCCCTTTTAATGAAATAACACTTGACATCGTTTTGAAAATCTCCTGAAAGTCCCTCTTTTATTTTATTAAGGAATAAGTTATATGTTTTAAAATGTAATTCTTGTTATAATACACATATGTATAAGTAAGTAAGTTTCGTAGTTTTCCTGGAACCTCCGGTTGCCACCCTTCATAATTAAATAGCCTTTGATGGGATGCTATCTAACATCCATAATATTGTCATTGTAGCTAACAAAACACCTACCATTGAACACACACAAGGAGATTTAATTCACCCACTGCTGTCTATCTTCAAAATATATTACTAAAAAATTGGCAAATTGGCTTTGTTCATGCTTTATAACATTGTTTTTGTCTTTTGTATTGTTTTGGTTTAGCATTAAATATGAATATATGGATTACTTTAGTATAACCATTTCTTTTTATTAGTTGTGTCCATATGTAAATAGGTTTACTTATAAATTTGTTTGATTTTAGAATGGTTACAAATCAGTAGGTACTGTATTAATTGTAGTATTTATCCATCATAAAACACTTAGTAGTATATAGTTATTGTAAGTTTTATTAAGTTGATTTACATATATAGATTAGATTACTTTTATTAGTTTATCATTTAGGGACTTTACTTCCTTTTTCTTTTGTTCCTGTGAGTATATGTACCTAAAGATTTTTTTAAGCAAACAAAGTCACTCGTAATAGCCTTCTTAAATAATAATAAAATAATTATTAAAGTTGTTCAATGTTATGTTATAACAATCAGTACATAGATGTAACAATTTTGTCTGATATTTTGACCGCATCATATAAAATTTAAATCAGAAAATAAAATATTATGTTCATTATATTGTTAAAACATTAATCACAAATTAACAAAGGGGGATCCAAAAATAATAGTTGGATAGGCTTTATAACAAAATAATTAATTTGTTAATTACATATAACATTCTGTGGGTAGACTTGAAACTGTACACACCTTTTAATTTGCTCTTAAATATTTCTATTTTTATTTATTGTTTTATTGAGTTATATTACATGAATTAAGTTTATTTTTATAAAACAATCACCACTCCTTCTAAATTTCACTTTAGTTTGCACAAAAGAGCACTTTTAAAAATATAATAGTAACATGGATCAATCACTCCAAATGGCATTTAATTTTGATGAAATTGTCAAAATGTTTGATTCGCGTATGAAGATCTATGAAGACCGGCTGAAGAAGCTTTCCCCATCGTGTTCAGCTCCTTCGATGGATTTAAAATCATTGACGAACGAGTTTCTTGACTTCAAAACCTTTGTATGGAAAACTCTCACACTAATGAAGTCACAGGTTGAGATGCTGACTGTTGGTTTGGAACGTCATGAAGCCTACTTGAGAAGAAAGGTTGTCCTTATTCATGGAGTACCTGAGGAGAAAAATGAGAAGCTCAGCAATGTTATTATGAACATATTATCCAGCCGATTAGAGTTATCAGACATTTCTCCGAGTGAAGTTCAAGTTTGTCACCGGCTGGGGGCTCATAAAGGTAAACCTAGGCCTATCTTGGTCAGGTTTAATAACCTTAGCACACGCCAGCTAGTATGGAACTCAAAAACTTTGCTCAAAGGTACCGGTATCACTCTTTCCGAATTCCTTACGAAATCCAAACATCGTGTTTTTATGGAGGCCAGAAAAGAATTTGGTGTTAACAGCTGCTGGACATCCGACGGCAAGATCATCATATTGCTTCCCGACAAAACACGCCGGAAAGTGGAAGTCATGTCGGATCTTCAAGCAGTAGTTTCAAAGTATTCGACTTCAACTTCGAAATCGCAACCATTGCCTGACCGACCTGTAACCAAGAGTGCCGATAAGGAGAAAGAAAAGCCCATTTTAAAATCTCCCAGAAAAGTTAGACGTAAGTTGTAACCTCAGTAATGTTGTTCACTTTGTCGTTTTATAGTTCCACGTACCTTTTTCATTTGGCCGGGTTACTGCAACTTACTTTTAAAGTTTATAATACTTTGTGGGGTATTACAAATTTTTACAATTGTGCTTTAGTCTGTATAGTAAATTTGTAATTTCTTTTTTATTAATATTCGTATGATAATTATTACTAGTCATTGTCGTTGCATATGACATTGACATAGAACACTGTGATGTGACTTTTGACACATGACAGTGGCAGTGCATTTATAAAGTATGTCACATAATTCGCTGTATGTTTGGTTACGTATTTTAATTTTAATTTTTTGTTTTCTCTTGTTTTTAATGGAGTACTTCTGACTGCATTTTATTTATTATTATTTTTTTGTGCAGGTTAATTGTTGTTGTTATTTTGAGTGGTGTGTTAAATGTTAAGATTTATTTTTTATTTTTATTTTTTTTAATATTTTAATTTTTAAGCATTAATTATAGTAACTTTAGTTTTTTCTTTTTTAATAATATTTTAATATATATTTATTTTATATCTTTTAACTATGGATTATGCCAATCGAATTAATATTAGCCAAATTTCTTACTCTTCTTCAAGTGACGAATTTTTTAGTGCCGAAAGCGATGATACACCTGACCTTCTATTAAATGATCAATTACAAACCATATTTTCTCCTTTTCATAATAATCTGAATATTGTTCATATAAACGCTCAGAGTATCCCTGCTCATTTTTCAGATCTTTCAGAGTGCTTCAGTAATAGTCAAGTAGACGCCATTCTAATTTCTGAAACTTTCTTAAAACCTTCGCTTCCTTCGATTCAATTTACCCTACCTGGTTACAAGTTGATTAGGAATGACAGAACTGGAAAAGGCGGTGGTGGTGTTGCAATTTATTTGCGATGCAATATTCCTTTTAGAATTATATCATCCTCACCTACCCAATACTCCGAATCAGCAGAATTCCTTTTTCTTGAAATTGTCCTATCCCACTCCAAAACACTTCTAGGTGTTCTTTATAGTCCATCTGTCCACATTGATTACTTCTCCACTTTAGATAATATCCTTAATAACCTTTGCCCTTTATATGATCACCTTCTGCTGATGGGAGATTTTAACACCTGTTTGTTGAAAAACGACAGTCGTTCTCGTAAACTCCTTTCAATTCTGTCTTCCTTAAACTTGCATTCCCTCTCCCTGTCGGCAACACATCACTTCCCTAATACGACACCTTCCCTACTTGACCTTATTATTGTTTCCCATCCTGACCATGTGGCTACGCATGGTCAACTCCCATCTTGCTTTTCCTATCATGACCTTATATTTATTTCCTATAATGTCCATCCTTCCAAAACCAAAGCTCCTTATGCCATTCGTCGCTGCTTTAATCAGATTGATATGAGTAAACTTAAAAGTGATGCAGACAGTACTGATTGGACGCAGGTGTTCAATGAGAATACAGTGAACTCAAAAATTGAAGTTTTTAATTCGAAATTAAGTAACCTGTATGATGTTCATGCCCCCGTTAAACGTATTCGAATAAAACATCGTCCTGCGCCCTGGATTACCGACAGTATAAGGGAAATGATGTCTAAGCGCAACAAAGCTAAAGCTCGCCTTAAGAAATTTCCAACGGTTGATAACTTGGACCGGTACAGATTGTTGCGCAACCGATGCAATAAATTATGTCGCGAAGCTAAGCGAAGGTACATCCACAACACTATCGACAATTCTGACAGCAAGCAGGTCTGGAGTTTCCTTAAATCTTTCGGTATTGGTAAAGTTCCTTTTTCTGGTGACAATTCAGTAGATCTCAACGCTTTAAACTCACACTTCTCTACATACCCTGTTCCTATAGATGATCTCACGAAAACAAGAACTATTTCGGATTTATCCAAAACTATATTACCGCAGTGTTCTTCATTCTCTCTACAGCCAGTTACCGAAGATGATGTGAGGAGGCATATTTTGTCCATTAAATCAGCAGCAATTGGTTGTGACCTGATATGCTCCAGAATGATTCTCCTTATTCTTCCTGAGCTCCTTCCAGTACTGACACACATATTTAATTTTTCCATTAGTTCATCTACCTTTCCATCAGTATGGAAAAATGCTCGAATTATTCCTTTACCTAAAATATCCAACCCTACCACTCCGTCACATTATCGCCCTATTTCAATCCTTCCTTTCCTCTCTAAAGTTCTGGAACATGTCATTCACGAACAGTTAGCACAGCATCTAGTTTCTAATTGTCTTCTGAATCCTTGGCAGTCTGGGTTCCGGCCTGGTCACAGCACTGTAACAGCCCTTCTAAAAGTAACAGAGGACATTAGATACGCTATGGACAATCGCCAGCTTACTGTAGTCGTATTACTTGACTTCAGTAATGCATTTAACTCTGTAGATTTCGACATTCTGTTAAGTGTGCTTAGGTCTATAAATGTTTCTTCCTCTTCGTGTAGCTGGTTCGAGTCTTATCTTCGAGGACGCTCGCAGTGCATCCAATTGGGTGAACTTCACTCAAATTGGTGTAATCTTAAATCGGGTGTTCCTCAAGGCGGTGTGCTATCTCCCCTATTATTTTCTATCTTCATTAACACTATATCTGCGGTAATTTCTTCTAAGTTTCATCTTTACGCTGACGATCTACAATTGTATCGCCACTTTAGTGTTGCGGATGCTACAACAGCTATTGCCGGGGTTAATGAAGATCTTAGACGTATACACAGTTGGGCTGAGCGGTTTGGACTTGTGGTTAATCCTACGAAATCACAGGCTTTAGTTGTTGGTAGTCGTAATATGCTCAAATCATTAAATCACATTTCTCCTTTGGTGTATAACGGCATACCAATAAACTATACCGATTCTGCTAAAAACCTAGGTCTTCATTTTAGTAACGACCTGTCCTGGTCTAAGCATATCAACGAGGTAAGTAAAAAACTTCTCTTTTCTATTCACTCACTAAAAAACTTGCAGTACTTCCTTCCCATCAAAACTAAAATTCTTCTTGTCCAGTCTCTTCTCCTACCTATCTTAGACTACGCTGATTCCTGCTACCTTGACACTACTGAAGAACTACTTAATAAACTTGAGAGGCTACAAAACCTTTGTATTCGGTATATTTTCGGACTCCGCAAATTTGACCATATCTCCAAATATCGAGCTGAACTCAAGTGGCTTCCCGTAAGACTTCGCAGGGATACTCACGTTTTATGTCTCCTTTACAACGTCCTATTTAATCCCCTGTACCCTACTTATCTTCGTGAGCGTTTTGCATTCCTGCATCCCCCTGGTTCCCCTTGTCGCCCCAATGTCCAGTTATTACTCCGTATCCCATCCCATACTTCCAATTTCTACTCAAACTCTTTCTCTGTCAATGCAGCGAGACTGTGGAATTCACTACCGGCTACTATTCGCACTTGTAAGTCCTTCTACACTTTTAAAAAGAAATTAAAAGAGTACTTCCTATCCAATATTGATTCGTAATTAAATGGCATAGACATATTTATTTATTTATGTATTTATATATTAGTTTATGTATGTATAATTATCTTTTAATATATATTTTTAAGTAAAATTAATTTTAATGTTTTTTTTTTGTTATTATTATTATTATTTTTTTTCTTCTTGTTTAGTATTAGTTTATGTTTTTTTTTGTTTTTTTGTTGTATCTTTTATCCTTTGTTCGATTTTTCCGTCTACCTTAAGTTCTCTATCTACACTTCTCCCTTCCCGGGTATACTGGAAGAAATCCCTTCTAGGGATAAGTATACCTTTTAAACTTATTTTTCCTGTGTTATATTCTTTTGTCCTTTATGTTTCTGATGTTTAAAAAATTGTTAATTAAATTAATTAATTAAATTAACATTAGGATTACTGACAAAAACGGATTAATCTATAATTATCATTTAGTAATTATAAATACCATAATCAATTTTTTTTTTTGTATAAATTGGCCTGTATTGAAAAATTAACATCATTCGAGTAGCATCGTCCAACATGGAAATGAAAATTTTGGTAAGTACAGTCATGTTCATATTATTAAAATATTAAAAATACATATATTTGAAAATCAATGCTTTAACTATTACAATTATTTTTGTTCAACAGTTCACCGTGGTATCAGCAGTTGTTCTTGTTTGTCATGGATCTCCAATAGTAGATAATGCTAAAATAATGTCTGGAGTTTTCATTCCGGCTGAAACGTCCCTTCAAGAAACCCCTCAACAGCAACAACAAATTTCTATTAGTCAACAACCCCAACAACAAGCTGTTGTTCAACCGAACCAGCAAGTAGTTTACCAAGAAGCCATTGGTCAACCCAACCAACTGCTGGTTTATCTGGCTCAACCACAACCATCCACTCAGCAAGTAATTGGTCAGCCACAACAACAGGTTGTTAGCCAACCAGATCAACAGATCGTATACCAACAACCGCAACAACAACCACCTCAAACCAACCAACAAATTATTGTAGCTCAACCAAATCAACAAGCGGTTTATCAACAACCACAACCCGGTCAACAAGTTATCGTAGGTCAGCCGAATTCCCAGGCCATCTACCAACAGGGAGCGCCTGGACAAATAGTTGTAGGTCAGCCGACATACGTAAATCAACAACCACGTCCGGTGTACATCTCGCAACCAGCTAACCAACAGCCAGCATTGGTGAACCAGCAACCTAATCGCGGACAGCCGATATATTTTGCGCAACCAGGACAAACCGTGTTATTAGCCCAACCGAACCAGCCCTCAGGTCAACAACAGTATGTGATCGGTCAACCTCCCCAGCAGACGATACTTGTTGGACAATCCGGTCAGTTTGTAAATCAAAGGCCACCACCGGGCAGTGTGTACGCACTCGTGCCAGTCTCAAATTCAAACAATCCAAATCTTAGTCAAAGTCAAGGCAGCGGCACCATTTACATCCCCGTACAAGGATCGAATCAAGTATTCGCTGTTGCTTCTTAAGAAATTATACTTTTTAAATGTGAATCTAATATGTTACTGAAATAAAGTTTATGTTACTGAAATCATAGAAATTATTCTATTTCCTAGTCCCAATTACTCTCTTTCGTTACTCCATATAATAAGTAAATGTATGATCTTAAAAGTTATCACGAGTGGGTCTTCTTTACTAAGAAAGAAATGATCCATTTTTGGGAATAGATTAGTTAGTAATAATATCAACCACAAGGTTGAAATAAAGAAGAAAACTGAATACAATATGACTTTATATAGTATACACAATTTACAAGATGATTTCCCAATAAAACTCCTTAAAAATGTCACAATTTATAAAACCCATTTTCTAAACAAAGTAATCAACATAGTTTGAACTGTTCTTTTTTTTTTTTTTTTTGTTATCGCGGTGAAAGGTTTTATATCTACCCCTCCGTCTAGGGCAGACAGAGGCGGTTATGTGGGATTCACGGCCAGAAGGGCCCATGTTACCCACTAAAACACCAGCGGTCACTCTCCGTTGCCGCCAAGTGGATCGCCACGGGAAACGCCGAAGCATGCATCCGCGACGATCCGGCGGCGGGCCGCGAACGGCCACCTCCCCCCCCCGAGGGCTCACTCCAAGTGACCAGGAGTGTCCCCCCGCCTGGCGGGCTTGCTTAATCGCGAGAGGGTTAACCCCTTACCTCTCCCACCCAAGCCCACGCGGCCAGTCTCCAACCACCCACCGACGAGCGCAAGCGCCCGACGGCAGACAGAGAGGAAACCGACCGACCACAAGCGAACTCAGGCCTCCGGAGAGACCCGAGTATCCCCTCCCCCCCAAGACAGCCACGGACGGCCTCCTGCCAGATCCGTGACCGTCTTACTCCCAGAGCTGTACCCCCAGCCCTCCCCCCCGTGACTGATTGCACCGGAATACACCAGTGGGCGATGGGGTCGTCACGTCCCGACGCCGGACTGCGCCGACAGTGGCTGAGGCCACCCGCCAACACGTAGGGCCGAACTTGGCAGCGGCGGTGTACACCGCCGAGCCTCGTCCTACCCACCTCCATGGGCTGCACCCCCAGCCCGGGCCAAGACCCCACGAGGAGGTCAAGGCCCTTCCCCCCCGTGACTAATTGCACCGGAATACACCGGTGGGCGATGGGGTCGTCACGTCCCGACGCCGGGAGTTTGAACTGTTCTTCATTAATTAGGCCCGATCGAACTCGGGCTCGGGCCAATCTCGGTTTGATAATATATTATGTAGTAAAAAATGTTGCGCATTCATTCTATCAGTAACAGTCAAGTTTCGGTCCAGTACCAGGTTCGAACAAATTTTGTTTGAACGGGTCGAACTTGTCACATGTACCGATAGTGTGAATATTGTTTCGACCTTCAGGTTCAGTCAGCTATTAGCCAACTGAAGTAATAAGCACATCAAATGCAGTTAACTTCAATACTTTAAGGATATTTTACTTTATCTTAATTTTATTTGTATTTGAATTATATTGTCCTAAAAGAATTGTTCCTGATAATATTATCTTCTTCATCAAGAAGAGCTATAATTGCTAATTCTTTAATCGAAAAGTTTAATAAACTTTTTTCACTGCAAATATTTTAATAGTTTTCTAATGTTATTAATTATCTACGAGCCACATACTATGCATCTGACTTTGATTATTGACAACTGGGTTTTATAACAAAACTATTTTGTTTTTTTCTTTTTGGATATGATTAAAAAGTTAAATCAAATTAAAAAGAAATGTTTGAATCCAGTTCGGAAAATACGCCGACTGTTACCGAGTAAACCCGAGCGCGTGTGACGTCACAATATTAATTTCTCCTCCTTGTAGTACACAGCTGATACAATGATAGAAGCTTGACACTATACTATCTTCACATTCTTTTAACATTGTGACCTCAGAAGCATGGTCACTAACCGCAGCCCATTCTTAGTTACGAGGTTATGTCATGCATTTTATCAATTTTTAATGGTTAATAATAATTAATAGAAAAATATTAAAAGTACCTATTTCGCATCTATACTAATATTATAAAGCTGAAGAGTTTGTTTGTTTGTTTGTTTGAAAGCGCTAATCTCCGAAACTACTGGTTCGAATTGAATAAATCTTTTTGTGTTGGATAGTCCAGTTATCGAGGAAGGCTGTAGGCTATATAACATCACGCTACGACCAATAGGAGCAAAGATATAGTGGTAAATGTGTAAAAAACGGAGAAATTATTTCATCTTTGAAGCCTTCCGTTGCGTGCGCCGTGAAAACGGTTCAAGATACACAAAAAATATGTATCAAAAAATAATAGCTCTTTAAATGATCTAAAAAACAGTCCTCGACAGTATATGTCTATCTTTTAAGATTAACTCACAAAAACCGTTTTTATGATACCTAATTTGGTCGAAATAATATGTTTAAGTTGTATCAACATAATAATATTAATCTTTATTCAAATAAACAAATAAATATGTTGTTGGTTAAGAGTACTTCATTTTGAATAAAAAAAAAACATAGGTTTTATCCTGAAAATTCTACGGTAACTCGACCATTCCGAAAACCCCGCAAGAACGGGAACTATGTGGGAAGAACCAAAAATCTGCCGGAAGTCACTATTCCACGCGGACGGAGTCGCGGCAAAAGCTAGTCAATTATAAATATAATATACTAGTAAACCTGGCGAACTCCGTTTCGCCACCAGAAGGCTTTTATATAACATTTCGTTTGGTGATTAAAAGATGAAGATTTTTTTTGTTTTATATTTGAAAAGGAAAATTTTTATTTCATTTCACAACTGTAATTAATTCATTTCGATTACAAAAATGAAGTGTTATTTAGTTGAACTTCTCTAAGTAAATGAAAGTGAATCCAACGTAGATATCGCATCGAAGCGTTAAACGTCTCCGCAAATTATCCGTTTCATTGAAGTGCTCCTTTGTAAACCACATTTTTTGTGTTTTGATCTAACTTTAACACAAATAAAGCGTATGGTTTCCAAACTCGTGAACACGCAAAATATAACTGCCCATGTGAAAAACACTGATTTTTTAAATTTATCCCGCAAATACTAAATGGTTTTTGAGTTCAAACTACAAACACATTACCTAAATATTTTTAGTTTTATATAGTAGATTTCTTACAAATATCTAATTGTCATCCATACGTCATTACATATCTGTCATTATACGTCAATTGCATAGCTGTCAATTGTGTTATTCCACGTTTTATAATGACTGACGTTTCATATCAAGTCCCACGGGAATGCTGTCGAACGGGATAAAAAGTATCCTATTGCAATTTCCTGGTTCTAAACTACCTCCCTGCCAATTTTCAGCTGAATCAGTTCAGCCGTTCTTGGGTTATAAGTGAAGTCACTAACACGACTTTCTTTTATATATATAGATTTAAAAGTTTGGAAATAAATAAAAAAAATTTTTTTTCAACAACCCAATTTAAGACTGAATCTTGACCTTAGTCATATAGTATAATGTGAACATGAAACGATTTTATCAGACCGAAATCGGATCGAGAAAGAACTGTGAACTGCTTTATAGCGAGAATAGAGCCTTATTTAAAAAAAAATACAAAAATTAAACAGCCAATTGAGCTTCATTAAATGAATATAATGAGAATATTAGAGAGAATACGTAAATAAAATAATATGATTTTAGCTATATCTGTATCATAACTATTGTAATCTATTGTGTCTAATATCATATTTTATATTATTAAATAGTTTTAAGATAATTTCCAACTTTTATATTAGTTATAAATATTAATTTGGTTTACATAATATATTGAACATACGGTTGAAGCTGTTATATATAAAATTGACTCAAAAATCTAAAAGTTTAAATAGTTTTTTAAATACATATACTTTTAATTAATAGTTGTTACAAAATCAAAGAATACTTCTGTTCGAGTTCACTTTAGTGGCTAGTAAGCCTTCGAATAAATTAACAAATAAACCATGCCCAAGGAGAAATATTTAACACATAATTTGGTTTGTTTATTTTTTATTTTTTATGATCTTGGAACAATTTACTTTACATATTTACACGAATGAATATAATATTTAAAGAATATATTGCTTTAAATCATATCTGTCTTTTAAAGGGATAATAAAAATGATAACAATACATATTTTGTCTTCAATCATATTATAATACCATATTCAGAAAATACGTATTATTGTAGAAGGAATACAGGATACTCCACCCAGTACACAAATTAAAAACTAAACGACCCCTCTATGTAAATCACAGACACCAAGGAATATCTCCCAAAAGACATGGTAGAACAACAGATATAAAATTATATTTGAATTATAATGAAAAAACATTTTTTTTAAAAGAATTACATAGGATTAATTTATAAATATGTTAATCTTATAACTATTTTTTGTTATTCCAACACTCAATATCAAACGCACTGAACAACGGAAACACACTGTGTATCTTTTAAACTTTTATATACTACTACTACTATAACTTTTAATAATTTTAATATTAAAACTTACATACTTTACAAAATTAAATATTTTGATAAGTTTCATGTATATTTATAATGAAATGGCTTTTCTTATTTAGTTAATAACCTTCTTTCCAAACGAATAAGAATTTATTTTTAATCTGTTCGCTACCAATCATATTTTATCACATATTTAGTATGGCGGATGCGGTGGAGTTGTCAATTTATCATTATGTTTGTTTTTTAAAGATCGAATAGAAATCTTACAAAAATGTCGTCTACAGAACCTTCACAGAACAAGACCTGGGAATTATCCCTTTATGAATTGCACCGCACGCCACAGGAGGTGATAACAGATGCCACAGAAATAGCGGTATCCCCGCGTAGCTTGCACAGTGAATTAATGTGTCCCATTTGTTTGGATATGCTAAAGAAAACTATGACTACGAAAGAATGCTTGCATCGGTTTTGCTCAGACTGTATTATCACTGCACTTCGGTCAGGCAATAAGGAATGTCCAACGTGTAGAAAAAAACTGGTATCTAAAAGATCACTTAGGCCCGATCCAAACTTTGATTTACTTATATCCAAGATTTATCCTAGCAGAGACGAATATGAAGCTCACCAAGAGCGTGTGTTGGCTAAAATAAATATGTCCCATTCCCAAGCTTCTTTAGTGAACTCTATAACCGAAGGTATAAAGTTACAATCACAGAACAGGCCACAAAGAGCTCGCAAAAATCACGAGGACAACAGCAACGCTTCCAACTCAAACAATAATACGGAGCCCCCACAAAATGGGAGCAGTAGCTCGGTACCTAAAGACAGTACGTCATCAGCGGCAAATCCTACCACACCCGGCCAATCTACGTCGAACCCAGCATCCGTACGAAGTACTCCATCTCCCGTGCCATCAAACATTAGTTCTGTTTCAAAAAACACCAGCACAACTAAACGAGCTAAATCCATATTGACATCGGAACGAAGTGAAGGAAGTGAATCAAGTGACAGCAGGTTAGAATGTAAATATCATTCATAGTCTTAATGTCATACAAAACACTTACTTACAGATCATTTAAACTAGCACTATATATTAAGAACCACACTTAAAAAAGGTCAATAACTTGCTTATTAATCCCGGTTCCTACTAAATATTGTTTCTTTAAGTTGTTTCAATTTCAATTCTAGGACTGAAGGCGAAAACTCAATGGACACAGAAGGTGAAAGTGAACCTTTGAATCCTAATGAGATAGAGCTCGTGTTTAAACCACATCCCACAGAGATGACTGGAGATAACCAACTGATGAGAGCTCTCAGGGATAGTTCAGTGAGATATTTGAAAACTACGGCTAATGCTTCAGGTAGATCTCACTCATTTATTACAAATAATATCTTCATCATATTGAAATGGTAACTAAATATTATAAATTAAAAAACCTCAATGATTGCCATTTCATTATTATTTTGCTACACATATCATGTGATTCTGGTTAAAAATCTGATAGTCTTAAATCTCTGGACTGATATTAACCAAATACAGCTAAGAACTGCCTCAAAGGAACTAACTGGCTTTTTAATAAATAAAATACATCCAAATTTGTTTATTGTGTTGATGTTTGATAGCTAAAATTCCGTAAACATTTACATCATACTTATAACTAGGGCCCAGATTAATATGTAAATACATATTTTTATATTTACGCGATTTTCGGTCTAGAATGTGTTTTCTACATGGATTGTCATATTTAGACTGAAAAACCAACTTTTATTTTCCATATTTTGTCATATTTCAAAGTTAAGTCCATATTTTACAAGAAAATGTCACAATCATCCATATATTGACAAAAATACATAAAATTTATGTTCCCGCCACTAATGTGTTGGATAAAAATAAAGGATTTAATATGCTAAAAAAAATTAACAAAATTGTAGACATGGCTTCCACAATTACTGAATTAAGCATGTTTAAGTATGCACCCATCACGTCATGTGACGTGGAGAGATCATTCAGCAGATATAAGACTATATTTCAACCAAATGGTCAGTTTTCATTTTGATAATTTAAAGAGGCACGGTATGTGTATTGCAACCAATTTGATAAGGCTAGTGTAATGGAAGTTGAATAAAACTGTTATTTTTTTGGTGAAATAAATATTTCGCTATTTTTTTTTCATCGTTTTTTAAACGTAACTTAACGATGTACGTCACGAGTACCCCTTTTCTTATAGTAAAACACTGTTTAATTATGAAAGTATTTTATTTTATACTCCATATTTTTTCTAAATTTTTGATTTTTTTGTCCATATTTTATGTACATATTTTAGATTTTTTAATACATATTTATCCGGGCCCTACTCATAACACACCTCTTCATGACAAGGCTTCAAACATATATCAATTCACTCATTTTCTTATTCCAATATACTCAGGATATTTGAAATTTATAACCAATTTAATAATATATGAATATATAAGAAGTGATCCATTATAATATTTTAGTGGATCATCTCAGCAAGTATCTTGCTATGCGGTTAACGTTGGACCTGGATGCCGAACTACCAGAGACTTATCGCCTCTTGAACTTCTGCATATATGTGGCACCATCTCCGGGACAGTTTGTGCCACTGGCCGGCTCACAGACGTTGAGGCAGATTAATGATAAATTTTGGAAGGTATGTGTGTAGTAATAATTTAAAACAGTAAAAGGAAATTTCTTAGTCAGTGGTGGCCTAATGGTTAGAGGGCCCGCCTCTCGTTGCCGACGGCGCGGGTTCGATCCTGGCCCTGCAAGTACCAATGTAATTTTTCCGAATCATATGTACTTTCTAAGAATATTTAGACTTTACTGATTAATGCATTCCCAAAAGAGGGTTTGATGTCAGGCAGGCGGCCGGTCGTAAAAACAATTAGCCAAAACTATTCACAACATGTAAGGGAGACCCTGGCTATAGCCTGGAAATTGCCAGGTAGAAGAAGACCTAAAGAAATTTCTCAGTATCAATTTGTATACATTCTTACAATTTTAACATATATTGTAAGTCGAAAATATATAGAATTAAATACATTAGAATGTATCATTTATATTCTATGAAAAAAAAGTATTTCCCAATCAAATACATGAACGTTACAGGCTTGTAAAGTGGATTTGAGTTATCTTCTATTATTGTAATTATTTGTTATTAACATCATAATATTGACTGTTACAGGTGAACAAACCTCTTGAGATGTATTATTCTTGGAAGAAAACCTAGAAGTAAAAAACATTTTAGTTATTATATTATAACTAAAATGGTAATGAATCTGATATAACATAGATTTATTAAAATATTTAATTTTTAATTAATGGACATATGTGATTAGTTTTATATATAGCCATAACATGTGTTATAATCTATAGATGTAATATCTAATTACTATAGATATAATAATCTAATATCTATAGATATTATGAAATCTGTATTATATATAAGGATCTATCGTCATGTATTCTCATTTTCATGTATGTTAGAAACAACATGTAATTTTATAAAACTGAATTTTTATACTAAATTGTAACGCAAATATTGTCGGCAACACTTATTAGTCAGATCTAACATTTTAGGGTATTAATTAATTATAAAACTATGAATTTTAAAATATAATTTAGATTTATGTATTATGTAGGCAAATAAATGTAATTACCAATTTTTATCATAATAAATTGATACTTTTTTTATTTTGTACAGATAATAAAAATGCATTTCTAATTCCGGTTTTATATTTTTTAAATATACCATATTAATGGTTGTAAAAATCACATGCAGTCGGCAGTGTACAACTAATGTGCAATTATATTATTCAATTAAATTTGACATTTAATAATAATCTTTGTTTTATTGATTGGTAACCCGTGGTGCACTTTGTGCATTACAGACATCTTTATACAAAAAACAAATATACATACATTTTAAACAATAAATATTAGGAAATAAATATGTTATTATACAGCCATATAAAATATTCTTCAAACTTTGACAAAATGGCGCTCATTTGAAAATCGTAAGCAAAGCATTTCAGAATGTTCTTGTTTAATTGTTTCTCGTATTATAGTGGACGTAACGTGTTCTGAAAGCGTCATATTCACGTGCAAGTGCTTTTGTCGCTTCCAGTTTTAATAACTTAAGGGCGTCATTGATTTCTTTTCTATCTTTATTATCACTGACAGTAGTCATAAATGTTTGTAATATAACATAATCTATTTCTTCAATCCTTTCAGCTGCATCCATTAATTTATCCAAATCTTTAGAAAATGTTGGTGATGAAGTACCATCAGCGTTTTCCCTGTAGTGTATCAATTTTTCTATCTTCTCCCACAAATCTAACACTTTGCGACCGTGTTTAAAATTGCTTGAAAACATAAAATTTCTAAATAATTTACGTCCCTTTTCATCAGAGAGCACATTTTCAATTCTATCGGTGTACCGATCTAAATCAGACGTTGTAACACCTTCAGGATCGTTACAGCCGCAGGCGACAAAACAACTATCCATGTTTTAGTCATTTGTGAACACTTCAATAAACAGTCCTCACTCCTTATCGATTTTTATATTATCGAAATGACATCTTGAAAATAAACACATTTAATATTTTACAATGTCTAGTCTTATAACAAACAGCCGAAAAATACAAATTTAATAAATCGAATGAAGTCTGAAATTAACTTAGGTTAACTAAATTCAAAAATAGGGTTTTCATCACGCACACAATTCACGTCCGCAGTTGTTTTCAAACGCAAATAAACTACATCTGTGCTCTTCTATTCGCCGCACCGCCTTGTACCATTACACTATGAATAACGACTTGAAAGATAACATGTTAAGAACTCATGCGATATATTTACACATTAATATCAAGTGCTTTTGATTTTCAAAATCAAATCAGTATTCGATATATGAATGTAAATGTCAGCCGTCTTTAAGACACTGACGTAATCAGGTGAAAAAAAAATGTTATGACCTCCATTCATGCGAATTATTCATGGGAAATAAAAGTCGGAGCATAGGGAAAACAATGGTTACTTTGATATGCCGCGTTCATACTAGCTTGTAGGTGTATTTACTAAACTAACGACATGACCTAACTGAATATTAGATTTCAATAAGGCTTCGTTGACAAAAATCATGTTGTAGAAAATAGTACAGTACGTATATTAACTTAAAAAACAAAAGACCTAAACAATAATCTCGATTCTCACCAAGTCAACTTAATAATACAATAAAAGCAACGAGGTACTAAAATGTTATCACATGTTCATGTAGTTTTTTTACGTTTCGTCAATACATATTAAGTTATTGTTGATGCACTTTAGTATATGTACCTATAGTTATAATGCACAAAGAAGTGTTTTGTGTCCTTTAGATCCTCAGAATCAGATGGTTATAAATATTTTCTTACTGGGTGCCTATTCTAATTTCTAAGGCAATTTTATGCAACTTCATTAATACTATTTATATTAACTTGAATAATCAATGTCTTTAACGACTTAAAACTAAAAAAACAATAAATTCTTTTGAAATTTAGTTTCATGTAACTTAAATAACTATTTAGTCTCAATTAAGTCATCTAAATAAGTTTGATTAAAATTCTCTAAATGTAGTTCTGTTTTTAGAAGGTTTTTTAATATTTTTGGATCACCCCTCGTAAATTCAGATACAACTCATGTACTTGTTTAGCCCCATGGCTTTGAGAATGCTTATATTGTATAAGGATGTGAAAATTAGGGTATTATTTAAAAAGAAAGTACCAAATCTATTTCATATTTTTTAATAATTTCCTACAAACTATTTCTGAATTAATAGTTTTTATTATCTTTAATTAAAAACCTTATGAAGTACGAAGTAAAACAATAATATTTATTAATTATTACGGATCATTTTATTTTAAAATTATATTAAATAGAAAATACTGTAAATATGTGGCCCGAATAATAAGAACATTGAAATTATAAAAATAAAATAAATATATAAAAAAAAATCAGAGAACATTTATTTTTAAATCAAATATTACCATAAGTAAAAATAAGTAAAATGTGACGCTGTCATTCGTAACAACAGTATATGTCGGCCATTTTGCAGGTTTTACGGCGACTGTAACACGTGTTCTGTAGGTTAATCGTAAAAATTAAATGAAAAGTAGAAAAATTATTGATATTTGTTTCAATTAAATATATCTATAATACAATATCAATTTCAGGTTGCCAAAAATGGCAGTTGCGAAGAAACCCGTGGCTAAGAAAGCCCAACTTAACCAAAAGAGTGGTAAAAAAGGCGTCAAGGGTAGCAAAATCCGCGGCAAGGGACAGAGAAGGAAAATCAGTCTTAAGTTTGCCATTGACTGCACGCACCCAGCCGAAGACAGCATCTTGGAAGTAGCCAACTTCGAGAAGTACCTCAAAGAACGTGTTAAGGTTGAGGGGAAAACAAATAACCTAGGCAATCACGTTGTCATCGCGAGGGATAAGACTAAAATTATCATCAATGCAGGCAAGTCTTTATTTATACACTTTACAAATATAATATTCAGTTAGTTTTAACTATTTTACATAGTCCCATACGATGTGGTCACGTTTGTCAAGTATTATGTTTAATTGAACTCCTAAAATATTTACACTAACAAATAAATCAGTCGACTAATGGTCTTATATTAATATTTAAAACCTTCATACTTTCCCATGGATAAATCGTTAATTATATGTTCAGTTTTTTTCATTTTAATATCAGTTGTGAGGATTTATATGTAGTGCTGTCTAATCACAAGTTTATTACATACTCTAGAAGCTGAATGGCCATCAATTTACATTTCAATACTATTCCTAGTTATGAAATAACATCCAGTAATGTAGTTTGTCTAAAAATGTGTAAAATTTCTGCATTTGTTTTCAAAACTTATTACCTGTTTATATGTACTTGAGTGGTTGTTCCACGCATTTGTATTTCAAATAGGTTAATCAAGAATTCACTTTTTACCAATTTCCATGTATCACAGTGTGATATTGTCATTTCTTATTCCGTCCACAAAATTTTTTCATACTATAGATTTACATTCACACATCTTTGGTCCGCCTTTCATCTATTTATCATCAAAGGAATAAAAAAATATTCAGTAATGATTTACTTCATTAATATAGAATGTGATTAATTTGAATTTTGTTATATTACTTTTTATGGATCATATCTTAAAAAAAAATTCATTTATACATTTCGAACCATCTAATTAAAGTATGTAATGAATGAATTCAAGTTTTTCTTATGTTCAAAAATTACTATAATTGTATTAATTATTTATATTTTATAAACCGACTACTAAATTACAATGAAATTTAGCTTGATATGTGATATGTAGACTATATTGTTGTGAAGAAATTTTTAAAATTGATATTTTTAATATTTTTTATTTTCCAATGTAGTTTATCAGTACAATAGATTTTTTTTTATTTAAGCTAGTATTCATTTGTAATTATATTTTCTTTCTTGGTACATTTAAATCATTTCTTCAAGAATTCTGCTTTGTTAATGCTTTAATGAATATAAAGATAAAAACACCAGATTATATTACTATTAACACAGAAAAGTCTTGCCTGTTCCTAATCAAGAATCCCAGTTTTGAAAAGAACATAATATTATTATTTTTTTAATAAGAATAATATCTAGAATAATTAATTAATTTTCTATATTATATTCCAGACATTCCCTTCTCCAAGAGGTACCTGAAATACTTGACAAAGCGTTACCTCAAGAAGAACAACCTCCGTGATTGGCTGCGAGTGGTCGCCTCGGCTCATGACTCATACGAGCTCCGTTACTTCAACATCAACGCTGACAGTGACAATGAAGACAATGAGGATTAACCTGGTGTTAATAAAATAGTTTTACACTAAAATGACTTATTATTATTCACACTTTACTCATTACTTCTACCTTCATTTAATTTCAATTTAGTGGAAAATATTTCTGTTACAAGATTGAATATAAAGTTTGCCAATAATATTTCCTATTATTTGGGGTCAATATACAATATTCATCTGTTTTTAAATTTGTCAAAGGGACCTGATTTTCGTTTTACAAACTGTACTTTGTTTATATTATTCAATAAAAATAAATTATTTCAGTTCCATACAAGTATTAATACTTTTTTATTGTTTGTAAAGTATTGCTCTTATTTAAATAGACAAGCAATGAAAAGTCACGACTATTTAGAAAATCTTGCACATCACCATGTTAAATTAAACTGCTCAATTAAAAAATGAAATGATTTTTTTTTTCAAGATTAATAGTGTAAGGGTCATGTGAACGCTTCCACATAAAATACATTTTGGCTGAAAGTTTTACGTCTAAAATTATGAAATATCGGCACACGTGTTAGGTTTGTAAATAAATCCAACAGGTTTCTTAGTATACAACACAGTAGCCAATAGCTATTTACCTCTGTATGGATAAATAAAGCAACAATCAAAATAACCTGGTAGAATAACATCCGTTTGAAAAATTGGTATACGAATTTCGTAGTTACTTAAGCAAATCTTGCTGTAAAATTTGAAAAGATTAAACTTTTTGTAAGATGTCCATTGAAAAATGGATTTAAAATCTTTAAATAATGTTCATAAATTACTAAATAATAATTTATTTCTTTATTAAACCAAATGCCATAGCAATGCATGTAGGAAATGAAAAGTTATGTGATTTTTGGAGACCGGTGTAAAACGGTATACTACTTAGTTGTTTTTATTTTCATAAGATATATTTTTTATTAAATTTAGAGCGTTTCTTAGTATGAGATAATACAGTCTATAATTGTTTTTGCATAAAGTATTTATAAGTACTTAAACATCACTATACCTCAAATTTCAAGCTTTATTCAGTATTTTCATAGGGATAGCAGTACTATAGAATGTGAATAAAATGAAGGCTTAATTGACCATCAATCGTCTAAACGATTTATTTTTTGTCCAAATGATGAAAACAATATAACAAAAAATTGATAATGTATTTTTACAGTAAATAAATTGGTGAAATATTAGAAAAGTAAAGACGAAACTTCTCAGCATTCCATGGATTCAAGGTGCGGGTGCCGGGTCCATTGTTGCAGGGAGAGGAGCTTCAACAGTGCCTGGGACTTGCGACTCAGGTGTAGGTTTAAGGGACCCCTATCTAACTCGCGTTAAATGCTCACCTCCACCCTCCAAACTTATGTCTCTTCCGAACCAAATTTGAAAAGAACCTACTAGAGCTGCCTTCGACGGACGTACAAAAAATGAATTGATGTTAGTTCTGGACAGGCGCAAGATTTTCAGTAGGTTATAGAGAGATATAGCTGATAAACCTCTCGCTCCCACTTCTACCGCGTACAAATCTTTCCTTTCAACAATTTTATTTCAAAACTAGCTGTACCCGCCACTTCGTTCGCGTGGAATAGTGACTATGAGCAGCGTTTTTTTGACATAACTTTTTTATTTATGAACCGATTGACATGAAACAAACACTAAAGCATAACTGAAGCATACCACAATATATTCGTGAAAACCGCATCCAACTCGGATCAGCCGTTTCTGAGATTAGCGTGAACAGACAAAAAAAAGTTAAATACATTTTTGGGTTCGACATCGACATAACAATAACCCCTGCTATTTTTTTTATTTTTATTTTCAATGTACAGACAGCACTTTTCTACAATTTTATTAAATGTATAGATTGTACATTAATTATTGTCTTAGATTTAAATTGGTTACATCAATGGTAAATGAAAAAGCAATATGCGTTCATAACAGTTATATTTGATTGGTAAATGTTATATACATAAATAATATACAATAAAACATCACTTAATTATGTTTCAATACTCGAAGAAATGATAATCAACATTTCTATTCTTATCTAATAATTGCACTACACTATTATCATAATGCACCGCTTTAACATTACATATCAATTAACTACGATTTATTTGAACTGCCTTTTATTCTCCTACGACTGTTGAATACTGGTTTCTGTTGTTGGCGGTGTTGTTGTTGTTGTTTACTTCCCAGCGGCGATCTCCTTCATCCTGTTGAGAGCTGACCCAGCCTTGAACCACGAGATCTGTTGTTCGTTCAGTGAGTGGTTCAGTTTGATGCGCTCGGATTTACCGTCCTTGTGTTTGATTTCGCATTCCACTTGCTGTAATACATTAAATTCATATTAAATAAATTTATACACACAACTATTATATAATTGATGACGTCACGTATATAAAAATATGATATATGATATTCAAATCTTACAAGCCGGTTTATAAAATGTCTCAAATATACATAGTTTTATTTATCTTATAGTGTGACAGTTGAGAACACGATCTATACCAGTGTTTTTCAATTTAGAAGACTTACTTAAGGGGTCGCCGCAAAAAGAAAAAGCTGAAGTTGTACACTACAATAAAAAACAAATTTAAATGAGAAGGATGGGCTTGTTTATTTTTCAAAAGCATGTCAAATCCTGGTGACTGCCTTGAAATATTATCTCTCAAGTCAACTTGTAATTGAAGTTTATTTCTCTTTTTTGTTTTGAAGTCAACCATCGCATAGAATGTGTCTTAGACTTAATTTGAGAATTTCCTTGATTGTCTGTGGCACAAGGGAGTAGATAAAATTTTTCAACCCGTAAAGGGATCGCGATAACAAAAAGATTGAAAAACACTGATCTATACAATAGTAAGTATATATGCGCTCAAATTATATAAATGTATAATGTATGTGGGCTATTTAATGTTCCTAAAAAGGTCGTTCACCTTTCCAGGTGCCAGGTCGTTGAGTCCCAGTAGTGAGATCTTGTCAGAGGGCTGGATCTTGTCGTAGTCTGAAGGGTTGGCGAAGGTCAACGGCAGGAGACCCTGCTTCTTCAAGTTGGTCTCGTGGATTCTGTTGGATAAATAATATTATTAGAAGAGAATAATTCTAATAATAGACTCTAATCGCTACGTAAATAAGCATTCAATTTATTAACCATGTGATTATAAGTTCTTAAAAGCACCTATTATGTAGCCAAAAAACTGAACATTAATTCCTATCAGTGACATTTCTTCAGCTTGGTGAAGAATAATTTCCAGACTTACGACGCCCACGTATCTTCCTCACATACTTTCATCAATCTAGTATACAGTTATTTCCAGACGTAGGATTTATATATCTTACACATGGATATATCATGCACATATCTTGCACACGTACATATCCTGCACATTGAAATATCTAACACTTGTAAATATCTTGCACACAGTGGCGGCCGGTGGGTAATGAAACCGGTGGTGCACTTTACTAAAATATAAAAATTAGAAAATACAACAAAACATAACGAGATGTCACTCATGGCTCAATTCGTCATACATCGGGTGCTCTCGGTAATCTTCGTTCGCTCGTGCGGCGCTCGAGAACCGACTCATTACTCGGTACATTTCTATGAACGATCTTTTGTTTCACGCGTCAGGCGTATTAATGCGTATCTCATACAACATGTATTAGCGGTCCTCGTGCACTCGACGAAGCGCACGATATAAATTTAGTAAAGCGCTCAAACTTTTTGACCATAATTAGGAAATTTAATTTTTTATACGTTTCTATAATATGTTTAAAAAATAAATAATAAAATGGTAATTTAAAAATAAAGATGAAGTAATATTTTGTAATTTTTAAATCTTTGGAATTGGTGGTTCGGCGCACGAGTGCACTTAAGGTACAGCCGCCACTGCTTGCACATATACATATCTTGCACATATCCTGCACATATACATATCTTGCACATACACATATCCTGCACATATACATATCTTGCACGTATACATATCTTGCACACATACATATCCTGCACACGTAAATATCTAGCAATTGTAAATATCTAGCAATTGTAAATATCTTGCACATGCACATACCTGGCGAAGGATTTAACAATGATGGCTCTTCCTCCAAGATGTCTCGGTTCTAAAGCGGCGTGTTCCCTGCTAGATCCTTCTCCGTAGTTCTCGTCTCCAACAACACACCACCTCACTCCAGCGGCCTTGTAGGCCCTCGCAGTCGCAGGCACCGGGCCCCACTCGCCGGTTTGAATGTTGCGGACCTTGTTTAACTCGCCGTTCTCCGCGTTTGTTGCGCTGGAAATTTTAATTATATAATTATTACTAAAGATTATTTTTCTTCATTAAGTACCTGAATGTTGATTTAAAAAATATTAAATTAAAAACATAATAACTGTAATCTATTAAATTAAATTTAAGTGTCTGTTGTTATATAAAATTATCTTTGATAAATGCATTTATCACACTGTTACCTTTATATATATTAAATAACAGGTTATAATATTAAGTTTTTCTTCATACTCACGTTATGAACATATTATTGGAGATGTTGTCCAAGTGACCTCTATACTTAAGCCAGGGTCCAGCAGCTGAGATGTGGTCCGTGGTACATTTTCCTTTGACCTTAATGAGTATGGTGAGGTCGTTGAGGTCCTTGCCGTCCCACTTGTCGAAGGGTTCCAACAATTGCAGGCGGTCTGATGTAGGAGATACATCCACTTTGACCTCTGGAAGGAGTTTTAATATTAATATATTAACTAAATTTCATTATAGAGTCATGCTTGTAAGATTGTGAAAATCTTAGTAATTTTAAATCTTATATATATCGGATTTAAAACAAATTCTACACTAATGTAACTTCTTTCAGCACATTTCATGTTATTTCATAACAAAACTACAATTTTTCCAAATATTCTTGTATTTCTCTAAGATTCTTCCTAATTATATTCTTCAATGGTCCGCACTCACTGAACTCTGCTTTTCCAAACGTTACATTTATACCAAAATTGGAACACAGTTACATACTACTTTTAAAAAGGTTATTATTTCGTTTTACTTTTACAAATAATTATGACTATCAATAAGTTTTTTTACTAATTGACGACAGCCTCAAGTTATTGGTAATGTTGCATCCATAATTGCTGCTAATAGCACTGATATACACAAAACAAACAATATAATAATAATCAATCTTACTTATAATTCATATTATCTAAATATATAAAAGAGATTTCCATCTATATATTGACTCATCACGGTATCTCTGGAACCATAAGGCGTAGCGACTTGAAATTTGGTAGGATTATTCCTTTCGCCGAGTATAGGTCAGCTAAGAACAGATTTTACGAAATTCCACCCACAAGGGGTCTGCGGGGGTAAACAATGGAAAATACGCTTTCACGCCTAAACCACTGAACTGATTTTAATGAAATTTGATACAGAGATAGAGTTGACCTTGAGAAAGAACATGGGATAGTTTTTATCCCAGGCGTTTGAGAGGTTCTCTTGGAAATGCGATATAACCGGACTCCATGCGGACGAAGCTGCGGCCGGAAGCTAGTATTAATATAAAGTAAGTATAACCATACTAACTTGATCCGTCGGCCGGTGGGTGTTCATATGTATCCTGACCGGGGTCAAAGCCTTTAGCTGGTAACTCATCAGCGAAGGGGTCTGATAATTTGAACTCCTTGCCATCTTTGCCCTTCAGAGTGTCGGTGAGAGGATTGAAATCAAGACGACCTGGGAACAAAATATCCTTTAATATATAATGAAAATAATACTTTCATAGTAATAAAAGACAAAATAATGAGTAGTTGATTGTTGTAATGATTTATAGTCTGATTATAAAGGAATATTGATGTTAATACAGAATGTATATCAAATTTCAAATTTTATGGAACTTTTCAAAGATATGATTTGTTTGTGACAAAATTTTTTTAGTAGTATGTAAGGAATTTACTGTTTCTGTGATGACTTTATATATAATTTAGGCACTTTATTATACATATTTGGTTCTGTTATTCAGTCTCACTATTAAGCATAATACATACATTACAACATGAATAAAATTTTATTGGATACTACATAATAATATAATAAAGTACGTGTGTGTGCGTGTGCCTTTGTGTGTGTGTGTGTTACCTGCTAGTGACAGAGCCGTGACCAGTTCAGGGCTGGTGACGAAGCAGTGTGTGGCAGGGTTGGCATCATTTCTGCCTGTGAAGTTTCTGTTGTATGACGTCACTATGGTATTTTTTTCCCCCTTCTTCACGTCCTTACGGTCCCATTGACCGATGCAGGGACCGCAGGCGTTAGCCAATACCTGAATAACATTATATGGATACATATTTAATATTATATATAGTATAATAAGTTTATTTTTAATTGTTTTACCAGGCCCAGTGAATAGTTTTAGTACTTGACGAATATAATTACTAATTAGATTTTTATTTAGACGAATTTTATTATCATTTTCAAAGATAGCATTAATTGTGTAATTTCAAAATGTGAATTTTATCATCATAAGTTGTATAAAAAGTATTGTTAAATCTCATATAAGAGCGTAAAACACTAATACTTTCTGCTTCAATGGATGCCTTGGTCACTCACATTGTAACAAAATTATATTAAAACAATAAACTCTTATTATTATAATTGGCAGCTTAAATAACTATTTCTTTGATAGTAATCAGAAATCCGCGAGGTAATTTTAAATACAATATAGTTAATAATTCCTGTAAATATAGTTATAATTCCTGTAACTTCTTCTTCTACCTGGCAATTTCCCAGCTTTAGCCAGGGTCAGCCTTACATGTTGTGAATAGTTTTGGCTAATAGTTTTTACGACCGGCCGCCTGCCTGACATCAACCCTCTTTGGGAATGCATTAATCAGTGATGTCTAAATACTCTTAGAAAGTATTATACATATGACTGGGAAAAATCACATTGGTACTTGCCAGGACCAGGATCGAACCCGCGCCCTCATGCATGAGATGCGGGCCTTTTAACCACTAGGCTATCACTGACTTAATTCTTGTATATATATAGTTGTATATATCTTACAGTTCCTCCAAACTCCCTAAGTGTCTGAGCGATGCCGTCCCTTTCGATGGTGGCTCGAACTTGTTCCGAGCCGGGTGTCACGTTGAATGGGATCTTGGATTTCACACCGTGACTAAGGGCCTGGAAATAATCAAAAGGTTATTTTCTTATTTATGTTAAGATAAGTTCAGTCAATTGATATAAAAAATGTTTAGTAATAGACAGTTTTTTATTTATTTCAGTGTGAGGTCAAAAAATAATTAGAAGTCTTTGTTATCATTTTAAAGATATAGCTTAATCTTTTAAACTTATCCTTTCAGAACTTTCGTTCTATCTAATAACAGCTGACCAGTTTAGACTGACCTCTTTGCCAATGGCTAATATTTAAAAATATTTTGAACAAATTTCCTATGCAGTGTTTTGGGCCTATGTAATAACAGCCGACCAGTTATGACTGACCTCTTTGCCAATGGCTAATATATAAAAATATTTTGAACAAATTTCCTATGCAGTGTTTTGGGCCTATGTAATAACAGCCGACCAGTTATGACTGACCTCTTTGCCAATGGCTAATATATAAAAATATTTTGAACAAATTTCCTATGCAGTGTTTTGGGCCTATGTAATAACAGCCGACCAGTTTAGACTGACCTCTTTGCCAATGGCTAATATTTAAAAATATTTTGAACAAATTTCCTATGCAGTGTTTTGGGCCTATGTAATAACAGCCGACCAGTTATGACTGACCTCTTTGCCAATGGCTAATATATAAAAATATTTTGAACAAATTTCCTATGCAGTGTTTTGGGGCCTATGTAATAACAGCCGACCAGTTTAGACTGACCTCTTTGCCAATGGCTAATATTTAAAAATATTTTGAACAAATTTCCTATGCAGTGTTTTGGGCCTATGTAATAACAGCCGACCAGTTTAGACTGACCTCTTTGCCAATGGCTAATATTTAAAAATATTTTGAACAAATTTCCTATGCAGTGTTTTGGGCCTATGTAATAACAGCCGACCAGTTATGACTGACCTCTTTGCCAATGGCTAATATATAAAAATATTTTGAACAAATTTCCTATGCAGTGTTTTGGGCCTATGTAATAACAGCCGACCAGTTATGACTGACCTCTTTGCCAATGGCTAATATATAAAAATATTTTGAACAAATTTCCTATGCAGTGTTTTGGGCCTATGTAATAACAGCCGACCAGTTTAGACTGACCTCTTTGCCAATGGCTAATATTTAAAAATATTTTGAACAAATTTCCTATGCAGTGTTTTGGGCCTATGTAATAACAGCCGACCAGTTTAGACTGACCTCTTTGCCAATGGCTAATATATAAAAATATTTTGAACAAATTTCCTATGCAGTGTTTTGGGCCTATGTAATAACAGCCGACCAGTTATGACTGACCTCTTTGCCAATGGCTAATATATAAAAATATTTTGAACAAATTTCCTATGCAGTGTTTTAGTTCTATCAAATAACAGCCAACCAGTATATACTGACCTCCTTAACAATACTGGCACATCGTCCCATGTCTTCGTACGAGGAGTTGGTGCAGGAGCCGATAAGTCCGACTTTGATGTCAACGGGCCAGTCGTTCTTCTTAGCGATATCTCCCAACTTGGAGATCGGGTTCGCGAGATCGGGAGTAAAAGGACCGTTTACATGGGGCTCCAATGTAGATAGGTCGATTTCGATTAACTGAAAAATATATATTAATAATTATATTACCAATAATTCACATATGTAATCCTACTAACATTATAATTGCGAAAGTTTGTGAGTGTGTGTATGTTTGTTACGTCTTCACGCTCAGACGGCTGAACCAATTTTAATATTTTGTATACAGGAAGCTGACGTCCAGGAATAACACATAGGCTACTTTACATCCCGGAAATCCGCGGGTAATAACGCGGGGCGCAGCTAGTTTTAGTATAATTTAAGAGCATTTTTTTGAATTTCTTTCAATTAAGTGTTAATATTACCTGATCGTAAGGCGCCTTGGGGTCAGGAGTTAAGAGGTTCTTGTAGCTGTTAGCGGCAGAAGCGATGTCGTGACGGCCGGTGGACTTGAGATATGCCTCCATACGGGCGTTGTAAGGGAACACCTAGAGAATAAATTATTTATATATAAACTCTACAGATAATGGCTGTATGTTGTGAACTTCGAGCTGATCAGCTAATATGAATGTGAAGAATGCATTTGTTTTTAAATTTCATATATTTAAAATCTTCATTTAATACTGATATTTTAAGTTGCACGCAAAACACAAACCTTTAGGTCACATTTAACAGTATAACTAACAAAATATCGTTTATAAAACTACTTAGTTTAAATAATGTATAAAGTATATTGCGGGTAGTTTGATATAGCGATTACCGAGTTCAACTTACACTAGTTGTAGCGCCGATCTCGGCCCCCATATTACAGATGGTCGCCATGCCGGTACATGATATAGAATCTACGCCAGGTCCGTGGTACTCCACGATGGCGCCTGTACCTCCCTTCACTGTCAAGATGCCGGCTACCTTCAAGATCACGTCCTTAGGACTCGTCCAGCCCTTCAACTTGCCTGGAGAAGGGATAAAGAACTTTAAACAATAGTAATAGAAGTACAGATTAGAACAAAAGTCCTGTTTTGTTTATACATAGGAAGCTTGCCTTAAACAATATTAATGGAAATACAGACTAGAACAAAAGTCCTGTTTAGTTTATACATACGAAGCTTGCCTGGAGAAGGGATAATGTAGGGAGTTTAGACAATAGTAATGGGGTACAGTCTAGAACATAAGTTCTATTTCGACTCTTAGGCCTCGGCCTCGAATTTTGCGGGCAGCGGAGCGGCAGCGGGAGCGGCAGGATCTTACGCGTATAATCAAATGGACCGACCCTCGAATACAGCGGTGCCCGCTGCCCGCTATTTTGGAGAAATGTATGCGTTTCCGTGCCGGCGTCGCCGCCGCCCCGCTGCCCGCAAAATTCGAGGCCGAGGCCTCATACATACGAGAAGGTGTCGGTTTGGAATTGTTATTTTCGGTACGTACTTGTTAAAAAGATCCTAGTAGTACATATATAAGAGCCATTAATTATGTATGAATGTTTAAATTAATATATTTTCTTAAATCGTTTAATAGTAATAAAGGTACTGACGAGGAAAAAAGTCCTATTTCGACTTTCATACATACATAGTAGAAGACTTTCATACATACATAGTATATACATAAACACCATTAATTAAGTATGAATATTTAAATTAGTAATTTTCTTAAATAACTAAAGTCAAAATCTTTACAGATCTAGTAGAAATTTCATAATATTTTAGTACAATTTTGTTCAGTTATCATAAGTACATAAATCAGTGGATCGTCTTGTATGTTATCTTCGTGATTTGTGTGTCGTCTCCAAAGCCCGCAGTACTGCGTAGTACACGCGTCATTTGATACGATATCAGTACCTCACATGCCCTCGTTGGCGCCAATCAACTTTAATAATCACACATTAAGTAATAGACATGGTTTTAAATATGTATGTAAATAAATAAATTTATTTGAAGCAACGCCTTCTTGATATATTTAACGAAAGTAATATTTATTGTCTTTTTAATAGGATAATTCAATTTCAATTAATTCAGTACGTCATTGACAGATGGCCAATTTCTTCTTATACAATAGATATTATCATCATCAGCCTATCAGAGCCCACTGCTGAGTAAAAGACTCTTCTCACATGGACAAGATTAGAGCATTAATCACCACGCTTGTTCACGACGGGTTTGTGATTTCAAATTTATGAAATTAAGTCTAAATTTCCTCACGTTGTTTCTAAATCGTCTGTTTGTTTAAATATTCTTATTAAAGTATGCACACACATATTGAGATAAATTACAGAGAACAATTACTATTTTTAACAATTTAATCATAGTTTATCTAAATTGCAAGACAATCGTTTCAGTATTTTTGGTATTCAGTTTTCGTTGTGACAAATGAGGAATTGAACAATTTGATACTTATTTTAAATTGAATAAAGATCACAATTTATAAAACGTTATAAGGTTTTTTCAATTAATTTTGAAAATAAATCAGCTTGTTTTACATTTCCTTTGTATATAAAAATTAGAGCAACAAAATTAAAAGTAGAATTCAGGGTTTTAAAAAAAATTAATAATTTTTAAATTCTATATCTTAAATAATTTCTAAATAGTCGATTATTAATAAAATACGATATACATGTGTATCACATATCACATTCATGAGACTTTGATCTCATTATAACAAACGATATCTTTATTAATTGCATGTTTACTCTTAAGCGGCGTATTTATAAACATTGTAAAATAATACTTATTATATCTTTATCTTGTTTGAACTAGCTACGTCCAGTGATGTACGTGAGTTATGTATTATATTAAGAGAGAATACACCTCTCAGCATTCAATGTATTCACCGTGCGGGTGTCGGGTCCATCGTTGTAGAGAGGAGCTTCAACAGTGACTGGGACTTGTGACCCAGGTGTAGGTTTAAGGGGTCCCTATCTAACGCGCGTTATACGCTCACCTCCACTGTCCAAGCTCCTCTCCCTACCGAACCAAATTTGAAAAGAACCTACTAGGGTTGCCTTCGTTCGAAGTGCGTTCCAAGAATAAAATATACGTATATATATTATTACGTATCAAAACTTAATTTTATCATAACGTACTCCTAGTACGAGTAAGCATTGTCACCAGTGGCGGCTGGCTGGTTATCAAACTGGTGGTTCACTTTACTAAAATATTGACAAAAACAACAATTGACATAAAATATGTTTATTTTTTGTACATTAAATCAATGCGACGACATTTTTCTGTAGCGAAATGTTCTATCACCTTTTTATTAAAATCTGATTCCAGTTTCTGTCCAAATCGATTCTCCGCCAAAAATAATGCAAGGAAAACAAAAGAATGTATTAAGACGCTCACATCCACACAACCATTTCTTTCTATTATACATTTCACTTTTAAAACTTCGTATAAATGCTTTATTTTTCGATTTACACTCTTGTTTTAAATTCAAAAAGGGCCGTGGCGGCCCGGCCAATTTTATGTTCTTTAATATAATCAATATTTATACTCATTTTCAACTAATAAAAAACACAGTACAGAATAAAAGTTCTATTATAGAAACGAAATAAAAACTAAAACGAATTACGGAAATAATTATAAACAATAACGAATTAACGCGTCACGCATACAGTGAAAGTTGAAACAATACCAATAACGATTAACGAAATGTCAATCATAGCACCCATCCTTTCGGCCGGCCCCTTGCCGGCCGGCTCAATACGTCATACATCGGGTGCTCTCGGTAACCTTCGGCCGCTTCGTGCGGCGCGCGAGAACCGACTCGTTACTCGGTACATTTCTATGAACTATCTTTTGTCTCACGCGCCAGGCGTATTGATGCGTGTCTCATACAAAATGTATTAGCAGTCCTCGTGCACTCGCCGGAGCGCACGATATGAGTTTAGTAAAGCGCTCAAACTTTTTGACCATAATTGGAAATTAAATTTTTTATACCTTTTTGTATGTTTAAAAAATAAATATTAAAATGGTAATTTAAAAATTAAGATGACATAATATTTTGTAATTTTTAAATATTTTGAATTGGTGGTTCAGCGCACGGGCGCACTTAAGGTACAGCCGCCACTGATTGTCACACTACAGACGTAGCGTCTCCCGTTTCATTCAATAAGTATACTATAATGCACGGTTATTGGAAATTACTACTCTTCTTATTAAATGTACTAAGATTTTTAAATGAAATTTTGTTAAATCTCAGTATGTAGTATGGCAATACATAATAGAGTTTGACTGATAGTATATATATTATTGTATATACTTTCTTCTTCTACCTGGCAATTTCCCAGCTATAGCCAGGGTCTCCTTTACACGTTGTAATAGTTTTGGCTAATTGTTTTTACCATCGGCCGCCTGCCTGACATCAACCCTCTTTTGGGAATAATTTATTTATGTATATACTTTCTATTTCTCAAGAACTGAATCAACAGTCGGAGCTCTTTAAATTTGGCAGCGTGAGTCATATTATAATTACGTTGAATTAGATTCTGTTAGGTCAATCATCATTGTGTATAATTGTCATTAATAAACCCATTACTTTAGTTATTTCATGAATTTGTAAGAATTATTAAATGCTTAGTTTGTAATTAGTATTTTTTTAAATATTTATTCTTCGGAACATAAACATATGTATAGTTTAACTAGCTTTCATCCCGCAGCTTCGCCCGCGTGGAGTTCGGTTATATCGCGTTTCCAAGAGAACCTTTCAAAAGTCTGGGATAAAAACTATCTTATATTCTTTCTCGAGGTCAACTCTATATCTGTACTAAATTTCATTAAAATCAGTGCAGTGGTTTAGGCGTTAAAGCGTAACAGACAGGCAGACAGACAGACAGACGGACAGACAGAGTTACTATCGCATTTATAATATTAGTAGGGATATGAAGTTAATCTTTAATTCTAAAGTACTACAAACATGATCAAACGCATCTAAGATATCTTTTTTATATCGCGCTTTTGGCATTCAGCCACAATGTCTTCTATTTATAATCTGTTATTTATGCAATAGTACAAAAAATACTTTTTTTTAAATAAACTCTTACAAAAGGCGATAGTTCAAATTCAATGGTATATGTCTAATTAAGAATTATGTTTATTAATTAATGATGGAATTAAAAAAAATATTACATCATTGTATGGAACTAATGTCTTTTTAATCTATATTAATTAGAATGTTTTTATTTATTTTTTATTAATAATAAGAATCCTTATATAACAAATGGATCATTACATATTGATAGCGGAACTGCTGAACTAAATTTAATGAAATGTGCCATTGAAATTGTTAAGAATTTAGAAAACGGACACTAGTAATAAGATGAAAGATATAGACAAATTAACAAAAAATATAAGTTAATTAACTTATTTATGATATAATAACTACTACTAGAAAACTTAGTAAAAGTTTCTAGGGTAACATCAAACTGACAGTTTCAAAGTATTCATAAAAGATATGAAAGTAACAGATATTAGGTTTTTGCTATTACTCATACTAAGAGCTCTTTAATAACATTTTTTATAAATGAAGTTACTCTTATCAAAATAACTAAACATTATAGTATGAAAAATTCAAAACTATATTATAATTTATGCACTCTTGAAAGTTAAGTCATTTAATAAATATGAATGCTGATAAGTTCAGGTATTGTTAAAAATAAATAATGTATTTTTAACTGACATTAAAGAGGTACAGGTCGGTGAAGGTGATGTGAGAATCTTTAGTTATCACTAACGTAATGCATACATTACTTGTGTATAGATAAGATATTACATTAGAGGTCAGATTGTAGCGTCATTCATATCAGTGAAATTTTAGTTTTACATAATTATATATTTTTTATATAAATTTTAATATACTTGGATTTATTAAAAAGAAAATTACTTCACTTAATATTACAGAAAATATGTAATTATTCTTATTTGCAATCTTATTTTAGGCCTAACGATTTCAAATGATATATTGATTGTCTATGGTTTCCCATCAAGTGTCAAATTTACACTTGTTTTTTTTATGGCTTCATTCGCTCTGGAATCTTGGAATTAATTTACCAATTTAAACATTGGATACTTGGTTTGTATTCAATTTACATTTGATTTTAATTAATTGCTATTATATTGAAAATTATGTACTTCACTCAAATAAATATAAATAATATCTACTTTAGTATAAGATTTTGGTAAAACTTACCTGTGAGTTTAACACCGATAACCTTGGGACACTTCAATTCCCAGGGGATGTCGGCCATTACATCTACAGCATCAGCTCCACCCACACCTAGACATACATATAACATATAAGCAAAACCATATATATGTATATGTATATATATATGAAATATCTGATGTGTTAAATTCATGACGGTATTGTTATTTGGGTTTTCATATCAAATTAACAGCTCTGAAACATATATCAATGACATAATATGTTTTCAGTATATATTATTTAGCAGGCACATAATAAATACATGTACAAATTAGAGTATTAAATATTTGTGATGGCAATACTGAAGTTTTGATATTGATAAATTATAATAATAAGTATCTAAAGTCTTACCGATGCAGAGTCCACCAAGTCCTCCACCGTTAGGTGTGTGAGAGTCAGTACCGATCATGAGTAAACCGGGGAAGGCATAATTCTCTAAGATGATCTGATGAATGATACCCGAACCTGGTTTCCAGAAACCCACTCCGTACTTAGCACCGGCTGTTTCAAGGAACTTGTATACCTCTTTGTTGAGGTCCTGATAAAAAGAAATATATTAGAATCATATTATTAAACTTATTAGGTAGATTAAATTAAATTGAATACCTTGGCTCTGGCTAAATCCTTATCTCCTCCGATTTGGGCCTCGATTAAGTGATCACAGTGAATGGTAGATGGTACAGCCACTCGGGGAAGTCCTGAAGATATAAATTGTAACATGGCCATCTGTGCAGTGGCATCTTGCATGGCCACACGGTCGGGACGAAGACGTAGATAGCTGGTACCACGTTCAATTTCCTGTGGCCATTATGATTAATTTTATATATAAATGTGCATGCAGATATTTCTATATCAATAAAAGTTAAGTTGCTATTGTATTATCTCTGTAAAATGGTTTAGTTAGTAGCAATACGCTAATCGAATAACAAGTACAAACAAATATATATAAAGTATGTCTTACAAATTGTTGAATATATTTTCAAGTTTGTATAATATTAAATGTTATTTTCCTGCTCACCTGTCCTTTAGGGTCATCCAGATGAGAGTACAAGACCTTCTCGGACAAGGTCAAATCTCGGCCCAACCTTTTCTTCACGATTTCGATATTCTGGGTTAACTTTTGATATGGAAGGGGGGCTTTGTCGAATTTTGACATCGCGACCTATAAAACATTGCACTGCCGTCATTATAACGATATTAAGGACGCCACATAACTTTTTCACCTTTACAATGATTACATAACAACTTTGTTATAACACTGAAAACAGTTTAAAACACAGGGTTTTTCGATGTTTTCCGGTACCTGGGCCGCTGCTGCGGTTAATGGTGATACACTGAAGCATCGTTTCTGTATTTCCACGAGCGCAAGCCTCGTCCTGCCACCCTAAAAATAAAAACCAACCCTTAACTTTTTTCTTAATTAAAGACAGCGAAATTCGTAGTAGTGAATAAATTGTGCGTATTTCATGTGAGATAAACTGACCCCAGACTGTTTATTTACCAAATTGACCTTTTCATTCATAGATTGTTTAAATAGCAAGTGATAACTCGTAAGTAAACATTAATCAATTGATTAGATTGGTTTATGTTATTAATAATTTATTGTTTTCAATTAGAACACGTGGATAATTAAAATATGTTATAACTTACTTGGCCATGTAAAACTCTCGTACAGTGAGCCATGGTTGCGGGACCTCTTGTGAATTAGTAATAATTTATAAATGGGATCTCAATGGAAACTCTATATCGGCCACATAGATTTATTCAACACCACCCCGTATAAGTTACGCAGTTTAATATTCTAATTATATTTATAATAAGACGCAGCCACTCCAACCGCACCAGCGGAATTATTTGGCAGATTACTGCACTGTGTAATCTACGTTTTGGCACATGCTATGTAAAATGTTGTCATTGTTTTAAATTTACCCTAAATTGGATAATTTTAAAATTAATTTTTATTTTTTTCATACTAAATATATTATGCTATAATCGAATAATAGTGTAATAGCCTAGTAATGTATAAGCATGTTGATAATTATGAGAAGAAATTCGTATAGTTAAAGTAATGAATTATAAAATATAAGGTGTATTAGTATATAAAAATATATATTTTTAAAATATCATTAATGTATCATGAAATCTGTGAAAAGTGGGTAGAAAAACGAACTGTGTCAACAGTTAAGCGGTATGTGGTAAATTGACGAAAAATATTTGGTTATATAATGAAAGTTTAATTTTTATAAGAAGTTGCTGTTTTAGTAAGAAACTTCGCAATAAAATCCTTATTTTATCAGTTAATACTTAGAATCTTTATTTTGGGAAAAAAGAGAGCTGAAGTTTGCCATACTTTTAAATCTAATTTTAACCATAGCCATATAAATTTTTGTTGCGTTTAAAATTTTCATTTCAATAATTTACATTAGATACATTGTATGTCATTAATAACAAAAAAAAAACTTTTTTTTCATTTAAAAAAAAAATCGTAGAAATAAGTTTAGAATCATATACATTAATGTATGTTTTGTAATTATATACATTTTTGAAATGCATAGAAACGTTTAGGATTTGCACTTAAATTTTCGAATCTAACTCTTATGTCAACTAGAGAGCAAATTCCAAAACGAATCAAAGATGTCAAAAGTAGTTTTGATGTTGACAGTTGACTGACGATACAGTCACATAAAAGTATCAAAACTTAATTTGTTTTATTTTAAATTGCTTTAATTGATATTTTTATGCAAAATATTTGTAACCCTTTATTGACTCTGAATAAATTACACCTTTAGGGCAAATTGATTTTCTGAAACATGACTAATGCCACTATACAGGTAACTTAGTACGCCCCTTTTAATTTGTACGTAACTTTCAAAACAAAAATAATTAAAATACTTGTAAAAGTCTTATTACTTAAAATTTTCTTTTCATTTTAAACATTACAGTCGTTCATAGTATATTAGTATAGATATTTTCGTAAAACATTTTCGCTTATCTAATGTCTAACCAGACTTGTTCACCTATTTCTCTTGCTTGTTTAAAAACAGTTTAGTACTAATTCAAATGTTTGTGTCACAAAGAATCCTATTTTATCGTGTTTATTATAGCTATTGACGTCCTAAATAACATCCTAATTGTTTTGTAACTTTTGGATCATTGAGTAACATATAGAAATTTGATTTCTAATATTAATAATTAATATTAGTATTTATAATTTTACTTATTTCTGATTAGAAATCTGTAATTTGGATAAAACAATGTTGTACCATATAATGAATGTGTATGCATCTGGCATCAAGACCTAATCCTTTTTAAAAATGATGTTTTTGTGTTTGTCTTGACTGACTAAATCAATTTTAATCATACCTGTGATGATAAAAGAAGTTTATACATCAAAGTAATAGCCAATTAATCTACTTTAAATTTATTATTATAAAAACTTCCATATCCTTCACATAAGATTAAATTATTTCTCAATACTACAGCATAACTAAAACTTATTATATTGATTCCATTTCTAAGTCCAACTATATTAGTTTAATTTTTTTTCAGGAAATAGAAGGCATAGATGACTACTGGGGGCCAGCGTTCAGATCAGTTTATGAAGGTGAAGGTGGACACGAGGCGTTTGTGCAGCAACTGGATGAGAGGATCCAACAACATGATAAAGAGATTGAAAAGCTGTGCAATTTCTACTATCAGGTAAAGTATGTTAATATATAAATATACATGTGTGTAGATTTTCTATGAGTTTTTTTTATTATAATTGTCTAATGGAATCTTAGTAGACTCTAACAACGGAATTTCAGTATCAAACTAATGGGGCGCACAGACAAATATTCCTTGCACATCAAATACACCGCACTTACAACAGTTCATTTGTCTAATAAATTTTTAGTGTGGCTAAATTTATCATATAGTATGGACATATTACATTTTTTACTGAGTACCAGACCTTATAACAACTCATAGCAATAAATAGTAATATTATTTTATGTTAAAGTAGCTTTCCGCCCGCAGCTTCGCCTGAATGGAGTTCGGTTATATCGCGTTTCCAAGAGAACCTTTCAAAAGTCTGGGATAAAAACTATCCTATGTTCTTTCTCAAGGTCAAAAATCAGTTCAGTGGTTTAGGTGTGAAAGGGTAACAGACAGACAGAGTTACTTTCGCATTTATAATATTAGTAGGAATTTTTTCATTTTCTTACCTATTTACAATATTGTATTAGAAGTATGTGGTTTACCTGCTTTCGGAATAACTTTTAATTGACTATTTCCAGGGTTTTATAGATTCTATTAGAGAGCTGCTTCAAGTGCGGTCTCACGCAGAAGAGCTTCATGCAGAGATATCAAATGTTGATGCCAATGTTAAGGAATCCTCGGAAAGTAAATAACAGTTTGTTACTTTAAAATTATAGCCAAATTACGGTAATATATTATCTTCTTCTACCTGGCAATTTCCTAGCTTTAGCCAGGGTCTGCCTTACATATAGTGCATAGTTTTGGCTAATTGGTTGAAAGGCACCACCAACCACTAGGCCACTACTGACTTAATATATCATATATGTGTGTTATATATTGTGTATATGAGGATGTGTGGTTAAAGTCAATTCTTATAATTATCATACCTTAATATCTATTTATATTACAATTTTTTGTTAACATATGTTAGGTTTTAATACATCCTTTGGTAAAAGATATTTTTGAAAAACTTTTACCTCCAATTTAGATCCAGATATTTACATATATCACTTACATATATTATTATTCTTCTCACTAGTTTAAAAATGTATGTCAATACAGGTCTCTGCAATAGAGCTGAGGAATTAATAAGGGCGCGTAGAGTTGAACTGAATATTGCATCTACGATAGAGAAAATGGAGTTATGTCTGCCCTTGCTCACTACTTACTCCAAACTCAAGACACAGGTTGAAGCAAAGAGGTGTGTGTTACTTTGATTTTGTTAAACTAGTTCTAAAGCCCCTTTATAGTACGTCAATAATATTCTTTAAAAAGTCTTCATTTAAATATATATAAGAACTAGCGACCCGGCCCGCCTTCGCACGGGTAAAATGCTGATGCTAAATACATTACAGAAAAACTGTGAACGTTGTAATGGATGTTATTATACATATAACGGCTTCGCGCGGGCACTAAACATGACCTTTACACAAATATTCACAATTAATTGCGTCTAATAAAAAGAAATAGGAAATTTAATTCTTAGATATTATTTCGTGACCTTAACCGCCCTCCCGTAACTCCGTGCCCGAGTGACGCCTACAACTCTACAAAGCATAGTTAGCCGACGAGCGGTTATTTTTCAAAATTAATAACTCGTGATATCTTTTGAATGGAATGTCAGTAGGTATCTAATAATTCTAAAAGTTATATAAAGGTTTTGAAACGATCTTAAATAATAAATCATTTATTTCGATAAGGATTTATACTAAGGTACAAATAAAGAGCCTTTTCAAGTAGTGGCAATTTGATTAAATTTTTTTATATAAAAAATCGCTTATTGTGACAAAACTATAATAGTTAAAGATATAATGTTGCGACGTTCTTTGTAGATAATGATAAGTTCTACAAAATTATAGTACATCACTTTGTTATATCTTGAATCGTTTTCGGAGCGTGATATAAGAAAGTTTTTTGACATATTTTTTACACTATCGGAGTTTTGGTAAGGAACCCTATTTTTTTAAAAACTAAATATAGTCTATGTCACTCCGGGATAGTATACATTTCCAACGGTGAAAGAATTTTCCAACTCGGTACAGTAGTTTCGGAGCCTATTCGAGACTAACAAACAAAAAATTAAACCTTTCCTGTTTATAATATTAGAATAGATAAAATTATTTTTGTTGTGTTATTTGCAAGCTAACATTTAATTATTATTTTCCTTAACAGATATTATCCAGCATTGAAAACTTTGGAACAATTAGAGCATGTTTTGCTGCCAAGAGTTGGTCCATATAAATGGTGTTCACAAATATCAGCTGACATACCGAAGCTGAGGCAGTCTATACAGGATGCTTCGATGGCTGATTTGAGGGATTTTCTTGAAAATATACGGAAATTAAGCCCACAGGTTTGTTTTTCTATTAGGTATATTAATAAGAATTATATTAAATTCATATGTATGACTTTTATTAAATGTTAAATTTATAATACAATGAGTAATTTATTTCAGGTGGGAGCTCTAGCTTTGAAACAAACTCAAGAAATGCTTGGCAGAAGCTTGGAGCTCATTATCAAGAACAAGAAAGGTAAATGACATACACTCAATGGGCAACTTTTTTTTAGTCAAAGAAAAATAATTTTTAATTCTACATTTTTACAATGTGGTTGAAAATGAGAAGTTAATTTTAGATTTTTCGAATGTAATTTGGTTGAAAATGAAGAGACCTTTTTAGTCATTTCTTTAAATATGCAAATGAATTGCTTTTGTAAAAAAAAATTGATATATAGTTATTGTATAATAATATCTAAACTTTTTTTTTAATATTTAACACTATTTAAATCTTGAAAGACATTTTCACATGTGTTACCAACATATTTCCTATTAAATGTAACATGAAACATAGTTTATCTCTTATCTTAAAACTTGTTTAAATGAAACTAATATTTTCGGTTTACTAGTATTTTATTATTTAAAAAAACTACATATTCCCGTCATATTGGTTACTTTGCATATAATAAATGCATTGTAAAATAAAATAGTTAGTAGTCCAAAAATATTAGTTTTATTTAAGTGAATCTCATTATTAAAACTTGTCTTTTATATTGTTTCAGAGGCTGCATCTCTTGGTCTTCCTCGTGACACAAGTAGTCAGAGTCCGCACGAACTGGTTGACTTTAGTCCGCTCCACAGATGTCTTCACATACACAGTGTGTTGGGAGCTAAGAATGATTTTGTTCAATATTACAGGTATACATATTAATAACTAGCTTTCCGGCCTCAGCTTCGCCCGCGTGGAGTTCGGTTATATCGCGTTTCCAAGAGAACCTTTCAAAAGTCTGGGATAAAAACTATCCTATGTTGTTTCTCAAGGTCAACTCCATCTCTGTACTAAATTTCATTAAAATCAGTTCAGTGGTTTAGGCGTGAAAGCGTAACGGACAGACAGACGGACAGACAGAGTTACTTTCGAATTTATAATATTAGTAGGGATTATACAGGATGACTGGTGAATTACTATCAATATTTAAGGAGAATACTCGGTACATGATTCTCATTCGAATTGTGTAAAAAGAATAGGTACTTAATTTTTAACCAAATTTCCGTATAAATAAATAAAGTGTGGACACTTTCCAAGTGTTCCAAGCGTGGACGCGTGTGGCGGCGTGCTGATACAACACCACTCCGCCGCACACGTGTGTCGCTACCCTCAACCCCCGCCCCGTGGCTAATTAGTCGGGCGAGCGCCGCCGTAAGGTCTGTACGTCCGTCTTCCCGCGTGCGCGCCTAGCGATCGATCTTACGCGTATTATTACGCGTATTACGAAGGGAATTGGATGATTTTTGTTTATCTAAGGTAGCCTGCTACCCTGTTAACACGCGGCGGCTCGCGGCGTTTGGATGTAGGTGAACTACCGCGCGATAACTAAATGTACGTACCTACATAACTGTTTTGTGTCGATAACGCAGCTAGGGTATCCACACGATGCGTAATTAATTACATAACTTTTGGTTAAATTTACTTAAAAGTTTATTAATATTTATGTTATATTAATTTTTATTTTGTCATATATGATCGTCAAATATCACGTCCTCAAGTATCGATAGTAATTCACCAGTCACCCTGTATATTGAAATGAGTATATTGAGTAATATTTTCATGAAAATTCAAAGAAATAAGGATATTTTAATGTAATTCTCTTGTTTGTGGTATGTAAAAAACTGTAGGTCATACAATTTTGTAAATTAAATAATAATAAATACATTACTTACAACTTTTGTACAGTAATCTCATAAAAACCCTCAATATATAAATTTGACGATATTGTCATGAATTTTAAATTAAAATTATACTATTTAAAAAGTACCAATAGTCTATTATCTACATTCATAGGTATTATAACTCCAAACTCAATTATATGTTACTTCCAGAGCTCAACGTAAGCAGCAGGCTCGTCTAGTGCTAATACCTTCGGGTAATTTACACGATTCCATTCAAAACATGAAGGGTTACCTGAACTCAGTACTTGGTTTCTTTATCCTGGAGGAACATCTCTTAACTACGGGAGCTGGCTTAGTATCCAGGGATTGGTTGCTCGATACATGGAGTATGGCAGTCACTAAGGTCGCCTCCACACTGAGGACAAACACTTCATTGATAACCGACCCAACATTAATGCTCAGTATTAAACACCAGATTGTACTGTTCATTAATGCTTTGAAGTGAGTTGGGTTATGTTGTAATTGTGGCACTTCACTTGGCGTTTATTTGTTGTGGCAAAATAAGAGTGTGTGGAAGATTTATTCGTCTTCATTTGACATATTTGCATTAATAAGATACATAGACAAATAAGCGAAAACGCGTAAACGCCAAGTGTGGATGTCGTGTTTGCTCTATATGGACTACGTACAAATATTTGGACAAATACGGCGAATACGCTACGCGAATACGCAACGCCAAGTGAAGTGCCTTTACTTTACTTAAGAGTAAAGCTTTAGTCATTAATTAGCTATGTTTATAGCTTTGTCCCTACTAGTCAAGAAGATTTTGATATACATACTGTTTTAATTTTCTGTAGTATTCGATAAAACTATATTAACTTTGTCATGTATGTATTGTGCTAAGTAGCAAAACTGAATGACAGCTTTTATAAAGTAATCTACCTCTATTACACTTGTCATCATATAATTTTAACCAAAAGCAAGTATAACTAATATATAATATTTTCCATATATATTTTGTAATTTAATTGACTAAATTTTAGGTGTTATGGTTTACCAACGGAACCCCTTCCCCTACTTCTCCAAGAAATGGCTGAACATTACACCGAAGTGTTGATGCAACGTTGGGTGGTTGTCTTCAGAGATATTTTGGACAACGCCTCATTCGCACCGATAGAGGTATTATTATTATGAAATTAAGAATATATCTTTTTTTTTAATGAGAAGATTTTAATTACATATTTAATAGTAAGAGATTGTGATAATGTTGACTTGAGTGATATAAGGATTTTTTTACCTATAATGCTATTTATTATGATGTTGGTGAAGTCAACTTTGTATGTCTTTTATCAGATGTTAACACAATTGGTCCTATTCAATTATATCGAGCACAGTTTTTCTTATGAAATATATGTCTCAACAGAATTCTACAAGAAGTTTATAAAAATTGATTAACAATACACTAAAATCTGATATAAATTATAGTTTGATAGGGTCCTTTATAGCAACTTTACATTAATTTAACTGCCAAATATAATATATATAGCTAGATTTCTTCTTCAATCATTTTGATTCCTCAAATAATAGTTTTTTTTTGTATCATGCAGTATTATTTTGTCCACAAATACCCTCGATACAAGTTTGACAACTATAGTAGATATGAATTGTATTTTAATTTTAATATATTTGTTATCAGGTGTCAAATCAAGAGGAGTATGATGCTGTTATGGACACCTTCCCTTACGATGGTGATGAATTAGAGACTCAGCCCTTCCCCAGGAGGTGAGATTGATTAACTTCCGGAAGTTTCTAGAAGCATCCAGAATTAGATATAATATGTACTGTTTTACTGATCTACCACTTAAATAACTGCTATTTTGATAATACATTTATATATGTTAATTTTCTTCCAGCATTCAGATGGCTGGCTAAAAAATTAATTGATATCTATTCCACAAATAATATCTATATTTAATATCATATGACATTTTTATCAGCCTAAACTTTTTTTAATAATTCAATCTATGATTGTTTCATAAAAACTAATTTTAATGTTTTTTCTTATGTAATCCAACTCTATTTGAATTATCTTAAATGTTTTATTATGTAATATTATCGATATAGCAATATTGTGATGTTTTCATTGTCCAAACTTACTTAACTCTAAATATTTGAATCACCATAAACCTCAAGTTCTGATAATCTTTCTAAATAAGTATGTCAAAATAAGCATAAGTGTGACAAAATTACACTAAAGAGCCACTCGATGGTTATAAACTCGCAGCATAAAACCATGTTTCCGTTGAAATTTCGGTTCTTTAATTCTAAACCAGCGTTTCCCAAAGTGAACGATAACGCCCTTTTGTGGGCACTGCAGGTCTAAGGGGGTAGTAAGAGACCCAAGAAAAAATAAATACGTTGTGTAGAAGCTTGGGGGTGATTGGTGGTGATGATAACTCACAATGGTTTTTCAGTACATAAAAAAAAAATTCTCAAATTGGCAGTACACAAAATAACTCCTGCACTAAACTTACAAGCTGGTTGCCATTGAATTGACCTCAATGATCTGATACCAGAACAAAATTATCCCTACTAACATCGGGTTTTTGTTCTACCAGGTTTCCGTTCACGTCACTGGTTCCAGCTGTCTACGTTCAAGTCAAAGAGTTCATCTACGCCTGGCTCAAGTATTCAGCTGGCCTCGGTCTTGGAGGTGGTCGCAGGGCTGCCGCTGCGCGACATTCTGCTTCGTTACTACTGAGCCGCTCATTTACTGGCTGTCTGTCAGCCCTGTTCAGACGACCTCTACCTTTGACTCAGCTCGTGCAGGTGATTATGATACTTATTGTAACTTTATAAGGTATGAAGTAAGATGTATAATTTTAGGTCGTGTTATACTGATATAAATTACATTGATAATATATTGGTGCTTGAAGTGTAAACAGAAAATAAGGTACAAAGCTCCAAGCAGGCAGTGAAGGACTTTAGGCCACAAATTTTATTGTATATCTAAATATAAATCATACTAAGTTAAACGAAAATATTGAAAAAGTTTTGATGGACTATACCTGGTCATAAAAATGGAATTTTAAGAATTTTTAGATATTTTTGTATTGAAATGCTTAAATTATATATATATAGGTCAGAAATAATACTACATATATCATTTAGTACAGATCGCATCTGGATGCGTCTCTAAAGACTATAGTCTAATGTTACAATACTTAAAGACAGTGGCGTGCAAAGAGATTTGGGGTAGGGTAAGCAGAATGTTTGAAAAATAAAATATCAATGTTCATCATTTTCTCCTCTAAAACATTGATAATAATGATATCTTTCAAGTATTGATTTAAATTTTAAATTAAACTAATATCTTTATTATTTTAACGGGCAGACGGGATTAAAAAGTTGTTTTTCAACATAATAATATACGCGAAGTAATCAAAAAATATTAATTTCATTTAAACATTAATAATAGTCAGAATGAATATGTATGTATATACTTTATGAATCTCTCAACTACCTCTGAACCACATACTTTTAAAAGATTACAATCTGTTCATCACAGCTTTATAAAAGTTATTTAAATAGGAATACCCAGTGGAGATTTAAACATTCTTCTTATTATCATTTGAAAACAACAAACAAGGCAAACAAAATTACTTATTTGTGTGTACACAACCTGCTAACTAATGGAAACTATCATAATACTTTTTATTAAAACGAATAACATTACCTTTGATTTAGTTCAATCTCAAAATAAATTAAAATATACAGAATTGACATCAAATATTAGAACATTGGAGGGTTTAATATTTCAACTGGAATAAACAAAAAGACAGTTGAAAAAAAAATTGTATTAAAATTACGTTAATATAAATTTTTTTTTTTTTTTTTTTTTTTTTTTTTTTTTTTTAACGAGGAGAATCTTTCAAAGACTTCCCGCCGCGGGGGAAAACACGGCGGGGGCGTGTGGGATTTCCACCCACTAAACTCCTCGGCGTTCTCTGCGCTGTGCGTAGGCTAGTGAGCGGGAACGGCAAGCCATACTTCCGCTCACTACGCACGAGTCCCATGGACTCCGTCTTCGGCAGGGGTCACAGTGGCTTCACCACACTTCCCCTCCGACTCCAGAGCAGCGTGCCGGGAACGCCAAGCACGCCACTCTCACTCCAGCCTATGTTGCCCGGACGCCGGTTCCCCACCAACGCCCGGAGGCTCCTCTCACTGGGGAGGCATTTGGCGAGCGTAGGCCCGCTGCCTTCTACCCAGCCTTCGTCGACGCAGGGGCGCCGAGGAGGGGTCATCTTCCCGCGCTCGTTCAGCGGCCTCTTTCCGCGAGATGACGCACTCGCTGAACCGGACCACCGCCTCCCAGGCACTCTCGCTACCGACCATGGCCTGAACCACTGCCGGCAACGAGAGATCTGCGCCAACCACCGCGGTTAGCTGGCGACGCTCTATCGCCCACGCAGGGCACTCCGCCAAGGTGTGATCGGGGGTGTCATCCATGCAACTGCAATGGTGACACGCCGCGGTCGGCTCTCTTCCGACTATGTGGCACAGATACCTCCCAAAGCAACCATGCCCCGAGAGGATCTGCACCAGACGTTAATATAAATATTGTATAGAATATTAACTTTATGAGTACACAATGCACATTGCTGAGTTCAATAAGTTGAAGTAGTTAATTGTCATAAAAAACTAAGAATTATTAGGCAAATTACGAGACAGTTACATTAAAATATTTTAGGGTAGTAAAAAATATAATTCAAGTGAACCTCTTGTACTATACATCATAATGAAAAATAATTTGTCATTAATGTTATAATTTTGATTGGAATTAACCTTTACTATGGTCATTAAGGATATATTTTGCATACTTGTTCAGGAAACAAACAAGTCTCATATAGAAATACCTTAAAAGTATTCTAAAAATGTCACTAGCTTCAAATATTTCTTCCTTTTATGGAAACAGTGATAAATGATCTATATTATGATAATTTTTTAATATATTTATTTTGTGTTTAGATAATCGTGGACACACAATATTTGGAGGACGCTACATCCTTCTTGTATGAATTCATCAGTAATATAACTGGGTCAGAACTCGTAACCACTCAGGTATGTACATCACTTTCATCACCAATCATCACCTAATGACGTCATTATCAAAAACTTTAATGCTAAATCATCATTACCTATCATCTTGACATCACTACCAAGATATCAAACTTCATTACTATTAAAACCCCCCCAAACCCTTGATATTATTATTACCTCCAATGTCATATACCTTAGATAGGCAGCCCTAGTAGGTTTGTTTCAAATTTAATTTAGTTATGAGAGAGGATCTTAGACAGTGGAGGTGAGCGTATAACGCGCGTTAGTTAAGGGGCCCCTTAAACCTACACCTGGGTCGCAAGTCCCAGGCACTGTTGAAGCTCCTCTCCCTGCAAGGATGGACCCGCCACACGCACGGTGAATACGTGAAATGCTAAGAAGTTTCGTCTCCCCCTACTCACGTTGACACCAAAATCATTACTATATCATATCATTATCACGACTTATCATTATTATTATTTAATATGTTATATAACAATATTTTTCTTCCAAAGGCCGCGGGCAGCATGTTCCAAGCTGCAAGAGATGACGCTGAGAAGCAAATATGTGAGAAATTAGAAAAGAAAGTTGACGAATTCCTTGACCTTGAGAACTACGACTGGCTGTTGGGTGAGAATTAATATTAATATTAATATAAAACTTTGTTAGGATGTATGGATGTTTGTTACACTTTAATACAAAAACTACTGAACGGATATTGATGAAACTTTGCATTAATGTAGCTTGGACATCAACATGGGATATAGGCTGTAGTTTGTATGCAAATTCAATATACTTTTTGCGGAAATTCAATTTTATATATGGAGTCACGTGACAGGAATAGATGGCGCTACTTTTGTATTAACTAGTCATATCATCAGCCTATCAGAGCCCACTGCTGAGCAAAGGCCTCTTCTCACATGGAGAAGATTTGAGCATTAATCACCACGCTTGCTCAAGACGGTTTGGCGATTTTAAACTTACAATTTGAAATTATAAGTCCAGGTTTCTTTATTTTTCCTTCACCGTCTGTCAGTGATATCTAAATACTCTTAGAAAGTATGTATGAGTCGGAAAAATCACATTGGTACTTGCACATCAAACCCGCGCTCTCATGCACGAGAGACGGGGTTTTAACCACTGGGTGACATACCTTATAGTTACATATGTACGTATATCTATTCTAATGAATATAGTTGTATATATTATGGTATTTCTTATCTAGTTGAGCCTAGCGGCCAAGCGTCATCGTTCGTCACGGATATGTTGAGTTATCTTTCCGGAGTTCTCACGTCTTTGGAACAGCTGCCTCAATTCGCTCGGTAAGGATTGTCCTGACTTGTAATTAACCGTCTTTATATTGAGTATTATTAGTATGATGATGATAAATTGAATAAATGATATATAAGGTAATAAATAAAAAGACACAGACATTCACATCTCGTATTAATGATCATGGTTGCTGTAAAGTAACCGAAACGACGGAAGTATGTAGTTTTTCATAAAAATAAAGTCGCGTAGTATATCCGAAAATTAGTTTCATTTAAATGAATAAAACTAACTAAAATCTAAGATCTCATCTTATAAAGGATATATATTTTTACGATTTCAACCTTATCTAATAATTGGTTATAAAAATTTTTCCTGATAAGTATCCATTATCCACTAATCGTAACCAATTGTATGATTTTCTTTCATCATCAACCAGTGTGGCAGCAGTTCGAGCGGCAACCAATCGCATCGCAACCCGTCTTCGCAACCTACTCCTGGAACCTGGAGTCCGTCAGATATCCTCAGGAGCTTTATATCAGCTGGACCTGGATGTCATACAATGCGAACAGTTCGCCGCCGCTGAGCCAGTTCCAGGTCTTAGGGAGGGTGAACTTCTGGAACACTTCGCTAGTCTACGGTGAGCTTAGTAACTCATTACTTTTGATACGAAGTTATAAGAGACCAGCTTTCCGCGTGGAGTTCAGCTATATCGCGTTTCCAAGAGAACCTTTCAAAAATCTGCGATAAAAACTATCCTATGTTCTTTCTCAAGGCCAACTCTATATCTGTACCAAATTTCATTAAAATCAGTTCAGTTCAGTGGTTTAGGCGTGAAAGCGTTACGGACAGACAGAGTTACTTTCGCATTTATAATATTAGTAGGGATATGTCCAATTCAGAGATCATTAAATATAATTTTGGTGTTTAATCGACAATCTTATCATAATTTTAGGTTTAATATTCTTAACTTATAAGAAAGTTTTATGGATTTCCTAGTTAATAGAATATCTTAGTAGACAGATTTCATTCAACTTTCGCTGTATATTCAACTATTCATGATTCATAAGGGTTACTGAATATTTTTTTATATCAGCTGGCTTTGTAGCGGTTACCAACCTAGTATAGTTAACTAATACAGTTGTAATTTAGATAAAGGTAGTAATAATACTTTTTATTTTCCTTTTTCCTTATTCTATTGTTACTCTCTTTTGGTCTGAATCTCTGGTCTTTATCGGGATTACATACTTAAATCAACATTTTATGAGAGAATATAAATTTTACATGCCGTGTACCATATACATATAGGGTGACAATTTGTCCAGTATTATTATTATATTTAATATAAAAATATAATTCTTGATACATATATAGAGATAGTAGATAGGAATATCGTTTTTATTATGCTTATTTTCATACTAAAATGAGTGAAATATTCTTGTAAAATTGCCTAGACAACTGCTGGATCTGATAACGGGCTGGGATTGGTCTTCCTATTTACACGATGTTGGCATCGAGGGCGGGAAATACGCTCTCGTAACTCCTCGGGACGCCGCCACGCTCTTGGAGAAGCTTAAAGAAGCGGAACAGAAATCATCCGTCTTCTCCGTTCTCAAGAAAAATGAGAGGGACAGAAGAAAATTACTAGACACAGTGCTGAAACAACTCAAACAACTTCAGAATCAAGACGGCTGATTTAAAATATACACCTATATACATATGTTACTGTATCATTATTTATTCTGTAAATAAATTATTATAAATCGCAATTATAATCATTTCACAAATAATTTTAATATTAAACAGTCATAAATCACGTAACAGAAAATCGAGAGCAAACTAATAATTCATGAATATGTTCAACCAATCGGAGATAACATGCAGGTGTGGATCGAGAGGTCAACTGTCAGAAATGATTAGTGCCATTGGTTGATTTGACATACACATAATATTAACCAATCACAGAATAGATAGCAATTTTAAATATTAAAAACGTTCATTAGAAATCAAAAGCTAGGAAACAAACTCTATCTATATTAGTAAATGTCAAACTTCAACGTTTCCCGCCTTAGCTGCTGTCACATTATTTTTAGGTGAATGCGCTTTAAAACTATTACGAGATGTCAGTTGCTTAACAATATCGACTTAACATGTCAAATCAATGTATTTATACATACGGTTTTAATGCAATAGTTTGACTTTCATATTAAAACCTGTAGGTCTTATCAAAAGCAACATGATAGCCTAACATTAGTTCTGACCCAAACAGATTTAGTGTTGCGAAAATCTAGATCAGATTGTATCGCTGAGCTTATAGATCGTGCTGCGCATTTAGTGGCAAGGTTATTTAATGACCTTATGTTATTTAATCGCGAATATACGGAGATGATTTATTGAATATTGTCTGGATAAAATTCGGTATCTTTGATATTTTTTTTATACAAAAAAAATAGATGTAAGTTCTAAATTTGAATATCAGAATAAAAGCTGACTATACTGAGTTGTATTTTGACCTTAAAGAATATTCATGTCACTTAATCATAGTTTGAACCATAAAATATAAAATATTGGATTAATGTAATGATACACAAAAAAAAAAATATTGGATCAATGTGTTAAACCTTGTACAAAGATATAAATGTGGGCATAACATATGAATTCAATTAATATGACGCAACAAAAACCATTAGTATGTGGAAGTATGAAACGGAACTCTATACAAGTTTAGCTAACCTCATATTAATAAAACATAAAATAAAATCGAGCACTTAAATGGGTCAAAGTCATTGAGTCACAGTGATCAAGTTTTTCACATAAATTTAAGATAACTTGCTTTGGTGCGGGTTAGGTCTTAGTTTTAAACATGACATTGGCAGAATATAAAAAACTTGCCGTGAATTAATCCTGAATGTAACCATATTATACGAAAACCTCTGTATGATTACGAAAATTGACAATATTTGTTAATTTTCATAATCAATTAATTCATTTCCAGCCACAAAATTTTTAAAATATTTTATTTTATAAAAGTAATTTATATTTAGGCAGACCCTGGCTATAGCTGGGATATTGCCAGGTAGAAGAATGTAAATTTCCAGAATTTTGCGTCGTATTATATTATAGAAGCAAATATAGATAATTAATTTTGTAGAGTGGGATGATAGTCTATGATTTACTTGTTTTTTTAATTAATAGTTTAAAATGACAAATTTGTACTAAAATGAATCTTTCCGTTAATTTTAAATGAAATGAAATGAAGCCATAGCATACGAAAATATAAATAAAATAATAACAAATTGATGGATTAAAAAGCGCCTTGTATTAATCAGTTAGGAGTTATTGAAATGTACTGAAACTTGTTTTTTTAATATTTAAACTCTATTGAAAAAAGTTACATACATTTCTTTCTTGTAGCGAGGATTTTACATTGTTAACCTAAATACAAGATTCATAGTCTTTCGTTTACAATGTGGTATCCTTAAATATATACAAACATTTACTAAGATGTTTTTATTTTCAATATGGGTCGACGTATCAGCTATTGACAAGTATGTACAGCAATTAAAGTAGATTTTAAGAGTTATACTTATCAGGTGTCCATTGAAACCTTTCTACTTTATAAGTGCTTGGTTGACCTTATCGAAATTAGAGGTCTAGAGGTCTAACCGTTTTATTTGTACGTAATATACACATTAAAATTATAGTATCTATGAATAATACTATAATAAGAAATCTTTATTAATACATACATAAGTATAAATTAATAAATGTTATTTAAGATTTTCAAGAATTAATTACACGTTTTCATATATTTTTTATGTGTCATAAGGATTTTTGGTTTTTATTTTTAATCCTATGACATAAATAAACCTTAACCTATCTTCTTGTCAACACGGTGCTCAGACTTAATTATCGTCGAATAAAATGTGGATAATAAAATAAGCGAGTCACATTCTAAGAAAACTAGTTTCATTTAAATTGAAATGTGTATATCCAACATTTAATTTATAAGTACATTTATTTTTGAATATTTAAATCACTTACAACAGTGCTAAATCAACAAGTGATCTACTTTTTTATTTTCATACATTTGATATTTTTTGTGACGTCACAAGATATTTCGAATAATAATGAATTAACAAATAATAATAATTATGTACAATTTATCCAGATAATATACAAATCCACCAATTGTTCTCCAATTCCATTCCAATTTTCAAAAAGTATAATATAAATGACGCTGCTCTTTTCACACTTCGTGACTATAATGCTATAATTCCATTAGTTAGGAGTTTTTTACTTTTTTTTATCTATAAACCTACTTTAATTCTGTTTTAAATTAAGGGTTACTTTACATTCGTAGGAGTTTCCAAGTATCTAGACAGCTATATGAATATAACTAATTACTATAATTACTTTCAAACTATCAGTTGTCAAGTAAACGTTAGAAACTTGTAATAAGAGGACTATCTAAAGAACAAATCGTAGTAAGATTCTGAATGTAAATATTTGTTTGTATCAATGTATGGATGTTTGTTTTTTCGCGCAAAAGCTTCTTAGTGGATATTATAGGAACATTTCAAAAACTAAGCTGAAACTTCAGAATTAATAATAGCTAGAGTATAATCCAAAATTCATGGTATTTTCTGTAGAATCAGTTCATAGCAGTTATATTTCATGAAAACTTACGTGATATGGACTAAAGATGGTGCTTAAATTAGTTAACTCATTATTTTATAAGCTTATTTCTACTTTTTTATGAACTTTATTAGATAATCCACGGATAAAGTCGCATTCAAAACTAGTCAGCTATAAATTATCACAATTAGCAAATGTCAAATTTGTAATGCACTGTAATTCGTCAAGTCGCTAATTTCCACAATCAACTAAGTCATTTTAATCACCTTTTAGAACTGAATATAAATTTTGTTTGATAAATATAGACAGACGGATTTAATTGATTGTTTCTTTGCTAGATTCACAAATATGGGAATCAAAAACTATTAATTTGAAGACGTTTACATTGAAATTGTAAGACAAAGATCTGTGTCTTCAATATCCATACATAATTCTAAAGTAACATTTTTTTTCTGCAAAAGTTCAAACCCAAAAAGTTTCTTCCAAAGAGTTGCTATATAAAATTATATATTCTAAATTTGTAACAATGGTTTATACTTAAATAACGGATATTCAAATATTAACGGACTTTAACTGTTCTATAAAAGTTTCGTACGACTTCCGTCTCAATAAAGATAGATAAAGATTGGTTTAATTAATAGTTTATAGTGTAATAATTAATAAAATGATTCCCACAATTAAAGAAACCGTTTCTCATGTTGTACATAGTGAATAAACATTTCCTGACAATACAAATCTCACGGAAGTGGGCGGTGTTACTAGAGTAAAGAACTTGGGGAAGTTAATATTTATGGATATACTACGCGTTTTATTATTATTTAAAACTACATACTACCGAAGTTCTGGTTATTTTCCATCAAAAGTGGTCACGGACATAAATTTTCCTTTCATCTGCTACAAAATAACTGCAGCGTCGGTAGCACGTATTTTAAAATAATGAAAAACTCATAGTAAATCCGAGAATATTAGTTTCATTTAATTGCATACTCTCGAAAGTCTTAAATATTAACTTGGGACGATTTATTAAGGGTTATTTTTTAAACCTACAAAAAAAATATACAGTCATGTAAAAGCTCGCTTGCATTATTATTTTATTTATAACACTTTTAACATTCCACAGATAATAATCTATAGCCCTACACCTTGACTCCCGAACGCATGACATACAAGCAATGCTGTCATAGAATGCACATGCATATTGTATGATGGCATATAATTTAAACGGAGCTAATAACAGGTCATATATCACGTGTAACATTTAAGTAAAATTAACATATAAATACAGATATTAGCGCCTTAAGCTGATATTCGGCGTGCAGTTTATAATCTCATTAATTCTATTCTGGGTCAAGCCCACGTCGGTTTTGACAAATGGATATTCTATTATCTGATATCGCGACCTCGGGGCGACGTGACTCGTACTCGATATGGTTTGAAATATTAATATGTAATGTTAATACGATTTAAAAACTATTATAATATATTAGATACTCAATTTATATTGATTAAGGATACGCTTGATACGGATCTGTCAAGAACGTAAGTTTCTGAACGTTTTGGAAAATTAAATAAGGTTTTTAAACGTTTTTTTTAAATAGATAGTAATATAACAAAATGTTAAGAATTGCTAAGTTACACTTCTTTGAGTGATTTTATGCTAAAAAATGTAACCTTGCAACTAATAGTCACATTTTTATATTAAGTCATTCTGTTTTATATGGCAACTTTATTAAATAAGGCGTTTATGTTATTATCCTTTGTATTGTAATTTAATTAATATCTTAGAAAGAAGGTTAAGCTGTTAATAATAAAAACTATTTTTTATATTTGTAATGTAAGCAAATGCTATTCATAGTTACAGTGCATTCGGATTTATATTATAAAACTACCAAATTCCGATTAATACATGTTTCTTTGAGCAGTGACAGTAACGGTAACAGTTTTTAAGAAGAAAAATCTTTTAATACGTAGGTATATTAAGCGAAATTCAATTGTTAAATATATTATATTTAAATTTACCAATCTAAGGTGCATGGGTAAATTAACCTAAAGTTATA